TCTCTCTCTCTCTCTCTCTCTCTCTCTCTCTCTCTCTCTCTCTCTCTCTCTCTCTCTCTCTCTCTCTCTCTCTCTCTCTCTCTCTTAGGCCATGAAATTACCCGCTAGGCTCGAAGAAACTTAGTCCCGGGAGGTGATCAGACGCTGTCCCGAAATAGTTGCAGCCCTACAACTTAGAGGGCTGTAGTTAGTCTTCTAGATCTAATAACTTTTGTTAGGCGAAACCGCTTTCGTGCAGCAGTTATGTGTGTATTTTCTGTGCCAGGTACAAGTTGAGCACAATCATGTCACTCAAGCTTTGGCCTTCTTCTTTCTCCTGTTGAGTCCTCTCATCGATTACAGATAAACTGTGACACCGGGGAAAGGATTTTATTCTAGGATATTCAAATTAGTGTCCCATTGCATTGTGGGGGGAAGCTCTATTTGGTTTACGCAGGATGAAGATCATTTCTGTAGGTCTTTTGTGCACAATTTATTCAAGTCTCCGGTTCTGGCGGACAAAAATATATAGTCCCAGATGAGGAAAATGCAGAAGCAACTTAACAGGTTCCAGTAGAGTGAGAAACCACTCACTCTGCCTAATTAGCAATTCTTCCATACTCTTCGCTCAATTGCTGAATTAACATGCTAGCTATCCAGAGGCTTAACATGACATTGGCTCCACAATTCGTCGGCCTTGATATGTCAACAATACACAAGGAAAAAAGAGATGTGAGTCTCTTCTCCTTCCATGATACACTGTTTTAAGATGGTGAAGATGGTTACGTATTGGAGGAAATAAGGTTGGTGGAGCCTGCATTAGTCCACCGCACTCTGGGGTATGAGGTCACGAGTCATTACGCCCCCCTCTTGCATTGCATGATTTGTCTCTCCTGTCCTTTCTTGTTTTTCATCTCTCCCATCTCTCCCATCTCTCCCATCTCTCCTATCTCTTCCTGAACCAATTCATCATCTTGCATCACATCAAATATTCCCATCGAGAACCAGTAAGCATCTATCCCGCGTTAGTATGCTTGCATCTCTTGGCATCAAACCATGGACACTTGCCATCTCAATCCCCAAGTGGTCACCCTACTAACATGACAAACTCCTAGTGACTCGCTCACACAAATCGAATGACCGTGAACACCAGACGGAAGGCGTGATGGGTACCCGTGACAACATACCACGCTACTTTGCAAAGTCCGGCCCGACTGACGCTGATCCTCGCAAGACAAAGAAGGACGGGGGTGGTAAAGGCAATTGGTAAGAAATGCACACCAGAGCCATTCATGTTGATCTAGCTAATACTTGAATTGACACAGGGGCCGGTCGGGCGAGGAAATGCAGGACACTGACTACTCGTTCACCAATGCTAGACGTCGGTCCAACAGTAGCACCCAGGGTCTGGCTGACTTCAACACCAAGTTCGAGGCTTTTGAACCAGAACCTGTGTTCGAGGAAGAGGTCCGTGGTGACGCCGACATGGCTGCAGTGAATGATAATACCGTGACCAAGGTCGAGAGTGCCAGTAGCAACGATAGCGAAGCTGATCATGATGGAAGGAAATATTAAGCAGTCTCGGCCATCGATGTGGCGACTTGCGCTTCACAGCCTCTGGATGTCAAGTAGGTTGGAACATGAACAAGCGTAGTCTCTTAGGGGTCGTGTCTGAGAAAACAACCCAAATAAACATCACATTCACATTTCAGTGATTGAGGGAGGGTCCGTGATCCAGTGCAACGTAACTCTTAGGGTTTGCTGAAGATCTGAACAGTACATTGAAACGTCTCTTGAGATTTCATACATAGAACATATTATGACTATTGGCCATTGGATAACCGAGCAAGAATATCGCAAACGCCACCATTTCATCCCCAACCCGCGTCAATTGTAGAGAAAATTCAATCGTTTGCTCCAGCAACTTCACCATCACACATAGGTGGTCTATTTGGGGGGCGATATGTGGACCTCGGCAGTTTCCCGGAGGTTTTGGAACCAGAAATCAAGTTTTCCGATGTCAATGCACTGGCGCAGAATATCATTTTCGGTCTGAAGATCGGATGCCACACGAGATTTTTGCTCTGGGCGGAACCGCGATACAAGAATATCGGAATCAGAATCAGTCATCAGAGCCTCTGCGGGCGAGAGAGGCTTGTACATAGAGTGCAGACCAGTATTTCGAGGTTCTGGACATATTTTGTTGGTTAGCCCGATAGTCCTAGTTCAATGGGAACAAACTCACCTTCCAAGCATGCAGTAAGTGATCGGTAGAGTGCCGTGTCGGCGATTGAGCTGTATTCACTGCCGTTAGGGCCCTCAGCGGCTTTGCCCCGAGCTACCCAATCATCTTTGATCAAGCACCGTCGCCAGATCAACCTTTGCAACGCCATGAGGTAGGATGGGTCTCGCTGGCCGTAGCGTCCATAATCGAGAACCTGCAAGGCGAGATGGAACTCGCTTCGTATCATTTCACTCTCACTGTCATCTGCAAGCTGAGTAGGGCCCACCAATGTCAAGATGTCAATCAGGCCGTCGGCACCCACAACCTGCCTGTCGACCAAGGTAGAGAGAGCGTCGCTCAAGATTTCATGGAGTGATGGCCGATCATCGAAGATGTGTTCTCCATACTGACTGAGAACTAATTCAAGTTCTGCCTTTCGGTCATTCGCACCCTGTAGGATATGCTCCATGTGCAAGTAGAGAATGTCTTGGATCCCATCGACCACGACGTAATCCTCCAGACGTTTTACATCCTCTTGCAAAGTAGAAGCAATGACGGAAGAATCCATTCGCTCCTGCGTCGCTAGTTTGCCTAGCTTGGCCAACGAGATCTCTACGCGGTGGCTCCACAAGTCTTCTTCACTGCCAATCGCTAGATTCTCCAATGAGGCTGCGGCAGAGTCATAGTCGTCTTCGCCGATGACATCGTTAATCCAGCTTAGGCGAGAATATGCGGGGTTACTTCGAAGGAATCGAGTGACGGCAGGTTGGTATTTTCGCATTGTAAATAATGTTCCTGGATAACCCATCGCGATTTGCCGGGAGAAGTATGCATCCGCCCATAGGTCACCAAACTTGTCGAAATACTTGGCTATCAGTTGGTCGGCATCGATCTCGGTTTGATTCGTGGAAACATCATTCTGAGGGTCTGTACGCGGATGTAGGCTCGCCTTTTGGTCTTGAAGCTCGATGATCAACTCGACCAACGCTCCCATGTCCCGGAAGCTCTCTGCTAGCTCAACGGCATCGGCAAGATGATCGATACCAGCCAGCTTGAAGAGTTGCCATTTGCGGTCTTCGACATGGGCCTGCTCAATCGAGACACTCTCATCCATCAGTTTGGGATCTCCTTGTGCGGAAAGCCATCGAGTTCGTTCGAGATGCATTTGACCGACCACACGAAGGTGTCGATAGCTGTTTTTCGCAACTTGGTTCAAAACATGCGCGTCAGGGATATCTGCTGCCGATGCGGGATTTTTCCATGACCGGCAACTATCCAGTTCCAAATCGAGTAAATGCCCCGCTTCAGAGTAACCAACACCTCTCGATGTCCAGAACTCGGGAAGATCTTCATATCCACCGGAAAGCACACCATCCTCCAGGAAGTCTCCAGTAAGACCATAAAGTGCAACGTGCTCATCGCGATACCGGAAAGCAGTTTCTGTGACCGCCAGAAACAGCTCGCTGGCGGCTAGGATCTTTTCTGACAGTGCGCGCGCAGGGTTGGAAGTGTTGCCCCGACCCAGCTTGATTGCATTCTTGATCCAAGGAATGACGTGCTCCATGCGGTAAGAGTCTCTCAGGAACCACTGACGTACCGGATCGGTCTCTCCGTGTTGAGGGTTGATTGGAGTCTTGAACTTGTCGTGCATGGATCCAATGACATGACCAAGGAAGGTTTCTTCCTCTCCATTTTTTATCTGACTGGCTTCCTGGATCTTCCACATAGCTCTTTGTGCCGCAATTTTTTCCGCCGCCCACAGCAACTTCCATCTTGCCGGTCGATTCAAAGGATTGCCTTGGCGAGATAGTAAAGAGGCAAGATCATCCAGTGCCTTTGCTCTCAAGCGAAGATTTTGCTCTAGTGAGATAGCAGTGGTAGGAATGAAGCGAGTCTCTGATCGGAGCAGCTCCCTGCAGATTTCTAAAGATGCTTGCTCCATTTCCAATGGCGGGAAGTTCAAGTCCCCTTCGCTGGATAAATTCAACGGATTCTTTGCCATGGTCCCGAAGAAAACCGCCTGCTCAAGCTTATGCTTTGCTGTAATCTGAGGCTCGTCGACATCTTGTTCTGTGCCAGGACGAGGAAGCACTGTCACACGAATTACACCGAAATTCCGAAGCATAAGCACACATGCTGCGCAAGGGGAATCGTTCGACTGGTCCTCTGAGATGGATCCTAGGATTTCGTGGTCTGTGCCAGAACGCAAGTGAATAGTGTCTTGGAAAGGCAGAGGCAATTTATTGGAATCAAGAAGCAGTTGTGAGGATGGAGTTTCTTCGACACTTGCCAACGACAAGATAACAAGAGACTGGCCAATAAGGATGAAAGCCGTTTCTTCTGGCTTCGGCACAAAGATTTTGGGTTTGGACGTTTCGAGCTGAGAGGCAGGAATGTGGCGAAGATCGACGGCATGCGTTGACATAACGCGAGATTGATTTCCTGACAGGTGAACTTGAGCCACGAATAGCGCCCTAGTCTCTGACCATTGTGGCGACCTTATAACCAGAAAGAGGCGCCAGGACCCATCAGAAAGTTGGACAGCATCGTCGGAAGACTGCAGAGCAGAGAACGCAAGGTCCACGACTTTGAGTTCTGTATCATTTGTCGGTTGCGCATGATATTCAGGGAGGGCCGCCAAAATTTCATCCTTGAGATCGTATCGTTTCCTAAGCGTGTTCCCGTGGTTCCAATGCGTGTCCCATATTTCAACCAACCCGGCCGAAGTTGCAATAATGACGTCTCGCTGGCCGCGTTGGTGAGAACCACCAGCCCGAACAGCAGTGACCTCTTTTCTCCATGACCCACCCGCGAAGACGCTCTTGATGCCCCCGAAAATTCCACCGCCTCCAGTCCCTACAGTGCTTCTGAGGAAATTCACGACTACTGAAGGCTTTCCCTGGGGGTCCCTCAAGGTGATGTGTGCTACTCGTCCGGACGAGAATGTAACGATGATTCCCGAAGGCTCCCCATTGAGTATTTCCGTGGCATACTCACCGGAAAGCATGCCAGGGGTGGATCCTTGGATGCCATTCTGCTTTTGCCGGGATAAACCCAGCGCCGCGGCACTGGAAACAGTCTCCCAGTAAACGACTTTTCCCGTAGAAGGAATGATCACTAAAAGACCGGGGTGGTCGCCTGTAGCCGTAGATAATAGAACTCCGAGTGGGACGGCACCTTTAGGGTCTCTGCAAGAATCCGGAATCGATACCGTGAACGTCTCCGACGGAGACGGAGACGAAGCGGGCGTAGAATAGGGCCACACGATGGCATGCGAGTGGGTCAAAGCTAGTGCGTGATCATGCCCAGGTCCGAAAAAGCATTTGAGGGGTTCTGCGCTCAGAGGATGGGAGTCAATAAACCGCAATCCAAGGAGAGGGAAAGCCGTAGTATTTGAGTTACCTGATTGTAAGCCACGAATTTGATCTGGCAAAGATGGCAGTTGATCAACAGTGTAGAAATCGGTGCTTGACTTTAACCCAGCAAGTTAGTGCTTTGAACTTGAGGGTCTGAAGGAACGCGCAAAGATTTAAGTAACCCACCAAAACAATTGTCCCCTCGTTATTGTTTCCAGGTCCATCGCCTTGTTTCACAACACGAGTTGATAGATGCAAGTCATTCATCTGGTCCGTAGGGACAACGTCACCGTTTGGCGCAGTGGGTGTCGCTAATTTTGCGAGCTCACGCCCCAGGTTGGTATCGGAAGGGGACTCATCTGGGCGTCGCAGAACGGAGCGCTGTCTCTTGGCCTTTGGTGGTTTGACAGAGTCATCGGAGCTTGTTCGCTGGCGTCGACGAGTATTGCGACCACCGGCTTTAGGGACGAACATTTTCAATTTGTACGTAACCTGTAGTCGCGAACACGCTGGCCGACGATAGCTTCGAAGATTGTTGACCCTTGGGGTCTGATTCGCTCTTCAAGGCTGGTATAAGGTAGGAGAAGAGAGAAAGAGAAAGGTTAAGGTAGAAGAAAGCTCTCCCAAAAAGATGGGTTTGAATTGGAGCACAGTGATGGCAGCGATAGGCTTGGTCAATAACAATCGAGGATGTATGTCCGAAGGCGGTGAGACAACAACCATATTGTACTTCGTACAGGTCGGTACATTACAAAATTTGTAAGTTACATGTACTACTACATACAGCGTATTCTCATATATTTCTGTGCATATTAGAGAGTTATCACAATCCAAAAATGTTCTAGGCATGTATATCAAATACGTATAGCTTTTAAAATCGACACCAGAATAGCTTTTTTATGTGATTTAAGTCGATTCTGCTCATTGAAATGTGGGGCTCTGCATACTTGGGTAACAACTGGTATACGGAGTAGAGCGAATACCAATAGTATACACCCTATCTCAACTAGGTACTTAGCTGTATTGCATGAGGTCAATTAAGAATGTTGGTAAACATATGTGTATAATTGATTAATCTCAGAATCTGAAAAGAATCGGTATATCATATAAGGACTGTGTAAGCTCCACTGAGAATGTGCATGGCAATTGACGGTTGTACGGGGATATCTTTTTTTCCATAGCCGATTACCCCGAAAAAAGGAGCTCACGTGAATCCCACATCTAACCCCACACGGAGATCACTGCTCCCGTTATTAACGCCAGCATGGACTGAGGGACAACACTCCTTCGCTCCATGAGATAGCGGATCTCACTCTCGCGACTACGCAGTAGCCACCATGCTCACATGCTGTGTTGATACGGTCAAGATCAAGGCCCCAAATGGTTGCTTAGGGCTGCAACTGTAGAGAAGATGTTCTCACGCTTGTCGCATCCCAGGGGTCACTTCCGACTAAGATCCATTGTGCATGTCGTATCGCAAGCTTTGTTTACACCTTCACGACCGACACACCTCAATGTTCTGCCCTTCAACCGAGACCTACACACTGCCCTTTTTTTCCCAGGTTTGCACACGCCCGGCCCCCATTTTACCTCTGAACCTCAAATGACCGCTAATACAAACAGCAGGGCATGGAGTCCAAAGGGTTGGCATGGCCAACACCTGGATCGAAAGCTTCCCTTACACTGCAGCTAAGGTTTTGGACGAGATGGATAGCACTCTCGGGTTCAAACTGTCCAGCATTATATCCGACGGCCCCAATTCCAAGCTCAACAAAACGGAAAACTCACAGCCTGCAGTCATGGCAATCTCAGTCCTAATACTTCGTATCTTGGAGCAGGAGCTCGGGTTCGACACTAAATCTCGGGTCGACGTTACGCTTGGACATAGCCTCGGGGAGTTCTCCGCATTGGTTGCCGGAGGCTATCTTGAATTCGGAGATGCTCTGCAAATAGTCCATGGTCGGGCTGAAATGATGGCCCAGTGTACGCGCCAGTTGACCGAGCAGTCAGGCGAAACATATGGCATGGTTGCACTTCTCTGTGAACCCGAGCACCTGGAAAGTATGCTTCTAACGGTCCAAGAATTCATTGGTTACAAGTCGCCGGGCTTTGGAATCGACAGGGATAACCATGCACCATCAATTCAGCAAGTGGTGGTTGCAAACATCAACTCGAAAAATCAAATCGTGCTAAGTGGTAGTCTTGACCGAATCAAAACCCTTCTGGTCCAAATGCGTCAATTTGGAGGCCACGACCCCCGGGCTGTCAGACTGAAAAGTGACAGCCCTTTTCATATCCCTGCTATGGCGCTAGCTGCGGATTATATGAGAGATGCCCTCGAGAAAATCAACATCACATTCCCCACATCAATGCCATGTATATCAAATGTTACCGCCTTGCCCTTCCAGTCCAAGGAAGACATCAAGGATCTCCTTTCAAGACAGTGCACTGATACAGTGAGATGGTGGGATAGCATTCGCTATCTTGATCAGGTACGAGGCGTGAAGCGGTGGATCGGAATTGGACCAGGAAAGGTCGGCAGGAATTTGGTTGGCAAAGAGGTTGGAAGGGTTGACATCAAAGGTGGTGGAGTGTGGGCAGTTTGCAACCCTCATGAAATGTCAGAGATCATGGTTGCCTTGGAGCAGACTGAAGTCGAAACAGAAAACCACTGACCTGAATTAGCATAGTGACAAATTGATGATCTTTATACTTTCTTTTATATTCGATTCAGAATCCTCATGACTAGTAAACTATAAGAAGTGGATATCCAAAGGAGTATAATAACGAAGAAGCATTGTGGCTATTGCCCGAATAGTTTGGTGAATTATTCCTGTCTAATATGGATGTAAGTTGGGGAAACTGGTTGATCTAGGTTTAATAGGTATCAATTGGTACTCTCCCTACAGAGAAGTTCCTGGAGCCCACGAATCCCCAATGCGTTTAACGTCCGCAACGAACTTTTTGTTAGAGATTGGCTGGCAAGTGGACAAAGAAGAAGCTGTATTCCCAGGGATTGGAATGTGGTCATCGGGGAAATAGAAGGGATTTTGCAAAAGCTGGATATATGCACTCTGTAATGCGCGGAAAGCCTATGTGGAATAGTTAGGGGTTGGGATCTTTCGGCCGATGAGCATTGGCTAGGCACCGGAAAAACTTACCGGCTTCACATCAGAATCTCTCAAGCCATTGATCTCAGCGCCTGCTTGCTTCCCAGTGCTGGCCTCTTCCTGGCCGAATAAATCCACGATGATCAATAGTTTTACTCCCGTGGTCGTCAACCATCCATAGGCTGCAAGTCGTTCGTCAATTGCATGTAATAGACCTAGATCCTGATCAATGGATGTTTGTTTGCACCGGATGTCGAAAATGTCGAGGCAGGAGTTCAGTAAGAAGGAGAATTCGATAGTGGAATCCGAATATGGGGGAAATAAGGAAATGTGAAGAGGGTTATCCTGCAATCGAGTTAGAACGGGCAATCGTAGAGGGATAACTTGGCAGAGTGGAACATACTGCCTTCCCGATCACGCCAATGCAGGCAATCTTGGGACCAGCCATTCTGAGATGACTCTTGAAGTGGCAATGTATCCGGACTGGGCGCAATCACTTGAGCTCTTGGAGTTTAGGGACTGATTCCCTAGTCTCGACACTGTGATTGGTGAGAGTTTTAATTTGAATAGGTATAATCTCCCCGTATAATGTCCACAACTGAAATTACGCAGCCCTTTAAGGAACGGGTACTTGGCAATCAAAGTGTAGATGGTAGTGGAGTGGTTGTCCCCGATCTCCCCGCGGCATAAGGTATGGAGAAGACGCGCTCGGGCATCGAGGCAGAAAAAGGAGCTAAGAGCCAATGACCACACTGGCAATTCCATTTACGAGCAGCTCACCGCTTTTACCATACCGGGTTCTGTAAATGAAAAATACAGCCACTGAGCCAATAAGATATGAGGTGAAGGCTTATATCATCAACATCAAACACTCGGTATACATCATCTTCTTCCACTCTGGAATCGGAACCTTTTTTGGGGTTCTCCTTGTCTTGCAGTTACCCGGAGCCCGCCACCTCTCCTCTCTTGTAATTCTATATAACCATCGTCACTGGCCGAGGCTGCTACTACCCTGTCTCTTTAACCCCCAGGATCACCACCTTCTATTCCAGTTTTTTTCCTCCACCGAAGAGACTTTTCTCAAGATGCTTCAGATGACGAGGCCTGCCATCTCTGGCGCTCTGGGCGGTAGGGATCTTCTTCACATCATCGAAACTGTCAATTTACTAACATAAAACAGCTGCGCGACCCCGTTTCATTGCCTCCATTCCGCGTGCTCAACCCTTCGCGGCCCTCTCGACTTCGTCAGTCAAATCAGCGATAGCGCTCGAGCGTCAACCATCAGCAAGCGCCCAGCAATTGACCGAGTCAGGCAAGGCCCGCCGAGAGGTTCGTTTGCCTAGTCAGGAGAAGAAGGAGGGTGTTATGCAATATGCCTTGTTCGTTTGCTCTCTACAGCTTTGTCGTGTATGCGCCTTGAACTTCCGCTCACCTCATACTACACAGGACCACCCTTGATCAGATTGCCAATTGGGCTCGTCAAAGCTCCTTTTGGCCTATGACCTTCGGTCTTGCATGCTGCGCTGTCGAGATGATGCACCTTTCTACCCCCCGCTACGATCAGGATCGTTTTGGAATCATTTTCCGTGCTTCTCCGCGTCAGTCCGATGTTATGATTGTGGCCGGTACATTGACGAACAAGATGGCCCCTGCTCTTCGCCAGGTTTATGATCAAATGCCCGACCCCCGGTGGGTTATCAGCATGGGCAGTTGTGCCAACGGTGGTGGCTACTACCACTACAGTTACTCGGTCGTGCGAGGCTGTGACCGGGTTGTGCCGGTCGATATTTACGTGCCTGGATGTAAGCATTTCCTCTTTCCGCACTCTTGCCCCGTTGCAATTGACTGACGAAAACCAAGGCCCACCCACTTCCGAGGCACTGATGTACGGTATCTTCCAGCTGCAAAAGAAGATGAGAAACACCGGAATCACACGCATGTGGTACCGCCGCTAATCTCAGAATCAAATGATATGGTGGGCAGTTTTATTTTGCCTCTTCTGTCACAGTGCATGGTAAAATAAAGTGACTCCACTTAACTGCCGTGGAGTTTTTATGTGTCTCTTTTTGCTTTGTACAATGTCAAGCCTCGGGGTCTGATATTTTGTTTCACTCTCACTTTGATTGGTCTGTTCCCCCCCTTTTTGCCTTTCGGAATATCCAATCAAAAGACTTTATATGTCATAAATGCTGGCTTGAGAAATTTACGAATGTCACTTTTACTGATCATTTGAAATTGGCGGTCGCTATTTTCCGGATCGGGATCCAGCCGCTTTTTACACTTAATGCTACGATATAAGTATATATTTCACAGCATAGGGTAAGTAGGTGAACGCCTTCAGAGTGGTGTTGCTCAAGTGGCCCTCGGGAACTGGAAGTGCGTATAATGCTGAGACTAGTATTCTTGCCAAGGGAATCTACTTCCCATGATGTTGGCCTGTGCGAAGAAAGGATGAGAACCCTGTAGGGAAAGAATTCTCTTCCTCTAAAACTGGAATTCACATAGCCGTTTGGCCACCCCTGCATGTGGTTACATATAGGAAAATGTTCTTTGCAGTTTGCATTTCTTCTTGGCCGTTCTGTGCACATGTAAAAAGAGCATCCTGGACCAAATAGATCAGACGATAGCGCATGCAAAAGGAGAGTTGCTGTAATTATACTCAAAAGGACTTAGTTCGGCACTAGTTGACCATGCAGGCGTGAACGAGCAAGAGCCTTCGCCGCAGAAAGGCCTTCATCAACCGCATGGATGACGTACTGGATAGTAGTTGTGACAATCCGGTTTCCCCCCTCGTCGCTCCTGTGCAAAGAATAGCTTCCCGTCAAGATGTATCGCAATGATGGGTATGAGCAAATGGTAGAGGCCGCTTTCCAGGCCGGATGTAATTGGGCAGCGAGGAGCTATATCCAAAGGCATTACAGGGGCCGGAGATGGAGAAACCTAGGAGATGAGCGTCAGTCTGATATCAAGTCACGAGTACTGGTTGGAGGCCTACCACGTCTTATTATTCATTATTGCCCCTGTTTCTGTGATGATCAACTGGCTTCCAAAGAGCAAGTTGATGGTAGTCGTGATGGAGATGACCAATCCACGGTGATCAGCTGCAGCCATGTGGGATGTAATGAGATTCCACCCCATCAGCGGCCCTTTCAATGAAAATCCATTAGAACAAGTGAGTTTACGTGTCTAGGCATTCAATCCCTTGTAGGCCATGTGCAGAAACGTTTAAAGTGTGGAAATCAGAAATCCTTCCACAAATTTTGTCCACGGCAAAATGCTTCAGCATGCCCTCTTGGTACTAGCTTGTCATTTCAACTTAGAATCGCCTAGATTGGTTCGCTGTCGCAAGTCAGCAAAGTGGATTGGAATACAAAGGGAACATCCATATCTCTCCACAACTAAAGACAATTGCTTTGTTCATTCTGTGGATGCTAAGATTCAGGATATTCGGGCCGAGGAAGTTGTCATAGGTGTTTAATGTCTCTAGAGCACTCATAGAAACAATTTCACTTGACGGGGCCGTTGTATTGATAGCCTTGAAGGCGCGCTGGTCGATTGGTGAAGCTTTCTATATAGCCACTTTTCCAATAATCCAATGTTACGTTTGCCAATTTTCAGCCTTGGTGGCGCTGAGCATAGTCTCTGCCGGTGTATAATGCATCTGGCCCTTGATCAGCGAGAGCCTCAGACGTATCCGCGTACCAATGTCTGGTTTTTGTATCTCCAAGACCGAGCAGAATTCCATTGGGAGCAAAGCCAAATGCCGATGTTGGGTTCTTGGGCAGGAAATATTCACCATCTCTAACAGCCGATTCCATAGTGTGAACAATCTCCTCTATAACAAAGATATTTTCACGGGCAGTTTTGATAGCTGGATACATCATATTCAATCACCGAAGAACACACTAGATCTTATGGGGAGATTCTAGTCCCATGTTTTTGCGTGAATCAGGCCGGGGGTTCATCCTTACTGGTGTCATAGCTAGAACATTGGCAGGCTGATGTTAAACTCTAAATTAGGAAGTTAGCTGAGACCCCTATAAGAAACTTGGTGATAAGCCTAGTTCCACGTTGAAAAGCCCGTACTCAAGTAGAAAGCTTAATTTAAGGCCAATTCCTACCCGTCAATCGAGGCATAAATAGAATTGAAAGGCGCCGTGCACAGCCACGGAATTTAACTAAAGGACTCTGAATTTTGTGAAGGAAGATAGGATTTCATTGGAAAGTTCTATGCTTCTAGTCTAGTGTTTGACCCATGGCCCGAATACGGCGATCCGCAGTGTAACTGGACTGATAAGGACGTTGCGTCAGTGGTTGACTTGATTTTTTTTTTGGATTTTGTGAGATATTGACCTGTTCACCTCCCTAAAGCCGAAAAGAGAGATGTTTGCGTCCAGACAAAGAAGTTCGTGGAAACTCCAGGTCTTTTAAGCCGTAACTACTGTACTTTGCTAATAGGAAATTAGATTTAGTGGCAATTCCTGTTCCTTGCTCAATTAGTTTATTTCTATAGGGACTCTTGGTCATCTGCCCATACTCACCAAGTTAGCCCGCCTCATTCGTACTACAGGTAGATCTCATACAAATCGGATCCCGCTTGTTAAAGAATTGGCCAAGACTCCTTGTCATGGTTAGAAAAGCCTCCCAAGGCCTCAGGTTGGTGATAACTATTACTAAAATACGTGTGGGTAAGATTTACTGAGCCTATCCTAAATGCAAAAAAACCTTGCTTCCCACCTTTGACTCTTGGATGTGTTGTTGGGCAATTGTATTGTCCTACAATTTCAGTGGGTAATAATTCCCAGTGTAATCTGCCTTTTCTCCCTCAATGATCTAGGCAAACCTTATAGTCGCACGGAAAACAACTGAAACATGGTAGAGATATCACTGATAAAGGATTCAGGTGGGTCAGTATGTAGATCTCGGCATCAATTGTAGTACACTGTTTTTTTTTTCTGGAGCCATGAAGGCCGGAGTGTAGGCATGCCAAGATTGCCAAGATTGCCAAGCGCACCAACACCACCACTGCACTTGGCACCTTCACCGGACCATATATTGGGAGAGAGGCTCTACTAGCCCTTTCATAATATAGGACCTTCTAAGCGGACCCAGGAACAACCTTAAGAATAGGAATACATTCAGCTACTTGGGGACACTGTGTCTTGCTGTCATATATTGAATTCTGTGGGGAAAGATATTGCGGGGAATAAGTTGGGGAAAGTGTACGGAGTAAACACCAATCAGATCACTTTCGACAGGCCCCCGGAAGGAATCCGCATAGGGACATTTAATCCACTCACCGAAAATATTACGTGAGGGAAATACTGGATCGTGAACCTGACACACCCCACATGGCCTCTCCAGGATTAGTCTCCACTGAAAGAGGCGGAAGAGAAGATACATACTCCGTAGATAACCATAAAATGTGACCCTAGAATTCGCTTTAAAACAGTGCGTTGGGCTGGACCATTTAATCCTCATGGCCCCCAATTTCCTCGGTGTTTGATAGATTCTTTTCATCTTCTCCTTCTCACTTCGGCCTCCAGCAAGATGGGTCACCTTGACGAGATTAGCGCTCTCGAGGCACAACCCGGCAAAATTGACAACACGGGGGATTTCAAAGAAAGTGAACCTGTTGAGCCAATTCAGCTTCATAGAGAGCTCAAGGCTCGTCACATTTCTATGATTGCCATCGGTGGTGCCATTGGTACTGGTTTGGTTGTTGGCACTGGCAGTGCTCTGACGTGAGTTGATTTCTGATCCGATCGTTTCTGAAACACTGCTGACTGTCAACTTTAGAGCAGGAGTATGTGAGATTCATCCAACTGATCTTTTGACGTTGACTAATATTCCTAATCAGCCTGGATCTTTGCTTATTGCCTACTGCTTTATGGGTTTCGTCGTTTGGACCGTCATGTGTGGACTGGGTGAAATGGCTGCTTGGCTACCATTGTCCTCCGGTTTTACTGGCTATGCTGGCCGGTTTTGTGACCCTGCTCTCGGATTTACCCTCGGATGGTGGTGAGCAATATTCTTTCTCCTGCTGATATTAATCAGAAAAAATCTAATATTCTCCCAGCTACTACCTCAAATATATCATTCTACCACCTACACAACTAACTGCCGCTGCTCTAGTTATTACCTATTGGCCAAAGACATCAGCAGAGAATGTCAACCCGGGTGTGTGGATTGCCATCTTCATGGTGTCAATCATCGTGATTAACTACTTCGGCGTCAAGATTTTCGGTGAATTGGAGTTCTGGCTCTCATCCTTCAAGGTGATTGTCATTATGGGACTCATACTGTGCTCTTTCATCTTTGCACTTGGTGGTGGTCCCGATCACGACAGGAGAGGTTTCCGTTACTGGAGGGAACCCGGCGCCTTCGCCACAAAATACACCGGTGGTTCCCTGGGAAAATTCCTTGCTTTCTGGTCGACCTTGGTGCAGGCCACCTTTGCATTCCTCGGTATGGACTTTCTGTGACTGAGATTCCCCCATCTCACCTTCTAACTCTCTTTTGAACCAGGTACCGAACTCATTGGTGTGACCGTCGGAGAGGCCCAGAACCCCCGGAAGACGATCCCGAAAGCCATCAAGCTCACTTTCTGGCGAATCATCGTGTTCTACATTCTCAGCGTTCTCTTCCTCGGTATGCTAGTCCCCTACAACTCTCCAGATCTGGCTTTCGCGACCAAGGCCAAGAGCTCTGCTGCTGCCTCACCTTTCGTGGTTGCAATGAAGCAAGTCGCCGCCCTTCCCCACATCATCAATGGCTGTATCCTGGTGTTTGTATTTTCTGCCGCCAACTCTGATCTGTACATCGCAACTCGAACTCTGTACGGCCTTTCTCGTGAGAAGAAGGCCCCTAGGATCTTTGCTCGCACGAACAGAGCCGGTGTCCCAATCTATGCTCTGACACTGTCGGCTTCCTTCTGCCTGCTCGCCTTTATGAGTGTTTCCAGTGGCTCCAAGAATATCTTCGGATACTTCACCGATATGGTGTCAATCTTCGGATGTGTGTCCCCTTCATTCTACGCTCTGAATGACTTGGAAGATTTTCCAGCATGCTGACCCGATATCGTAGTGTTGACCTGGATCTCTCTCTTGATTACTCACATCTTCTTCATTCGCGCCCGACGTGCACAGGGTGTTGACGAGACAGTACTGGCCTACAAGGCTCCTCTGGGAATCATCGGTTCCTGCGTTGCGCTCTTTTTCTGTGTCTTGGTAGTCTTCACTCGCAGCTTCGGTGTGTTTATCCACAAACCGGAAACCTATGGCAATTTCGACTACAAGACCTTCATCACTTCCTACATCGGAATCCCCCTCTATGTATTAGCATTCGCTGGGTGGAAGTTCTGGAAGAAGACTGAGATTATCAAGCCCCATAATGCCGATATCTGGACGGGCAAGGCGGAAATTGACCGCGAAGAGGCCGAATATATGGCCATGATGGCCATCCAGGACCGGAACCTGTCTGGCTGGAAGAAATTCTACAGAAAAAGTCTCGCCTGGCTTTTCTAGTCCTTTTTTTTTGTTTTTGTTTTATTCTAGACCTTACCTCACGAGACACGTTTTGCTGGAAGTTCATGATCACTTTCGGAGGCGCAGATAATGTTTATTTCACTGGTTACATGGATTTTTTTCCCATTTTATTTTTGTGTCCCTCGGGCGCCATCTTATTCCCTGGTCAAGAGAAAGTGTGCACACTCAAGATAGGTGAGGACATTTTCAAGGAACTTGATGAGATGGTAGAATACCTTCGGTTCTTTGTCGTCTTGAAAAGCGAGAAGAGACAGGCACGTATTTGTATGCTTACTACGAAGTAGATCTTCTTCCTTCCACTCACTTTTAACCAACATCAAAAGCTTCAGGCTACAGTATACCGAGAACAAAAACTTTTTACGGTGATCTTTGAAAAGGATGAAGACAGTGGAATTACTAATACAAGAATTTGTGTGGTGGCTCGGCAACAAGATAATCCGTGCCAGTAATCGCACCTCCGGGGTTACCTCGACGCACCGGCTCAACCAAAGGCTTGCTACGGACTATTGACGGATTTCAGGGATTTCAGGCAGTAAGTCAAATGACTTTGGGACACAGAACAAATTCGTGCCCTTACAAATTCCTGGTCTTCGTGTGTCAATGGGCTGATATTAACTCGTAGGTCAGAGTCTTCTCACCATGGCTCGGGGTATCGTGAATGCCGCCAAGTCGGCATCCAATGTCATCTCCATCAACCAGGTAGGTCATAATGACCGGAATGAGGAGGCCAGACTCTATTGCCGTGCGCTGGGTACTAATCCTCTTTGGGCTCTAGAAATACACAGTCAAGTCCACCGGCATCTGGGAGCGCATTCGTCGCCTTCTCGCCGTTGACCCTGAACGCTCTTCAGGTGTCCCTCTGAACTCTCAATTCCGTTCTCCCACCCCGGGCTCTGTACCTCCTCTTGCCTACGATGACCCGGTTACTCTTCCCGCGGGTGACATTGCCGACAACCCATACTGGAAGCGGGACGTCCGGAGGAGCTACCCTAGGCTGAGCACCGTGCGCCAAGCCGATGCAGTCAGCCTTCTCACCGTCGGAAGCCAGGCCGCTCCCAAGGATGGCGTTCTTAAACTTGGACAGGCTGGAGAGCAGCAATTGATTGCTCTCAAGGAACAGGGCGAAGAACGCGGCCTAGCGGCTCTCTTTGAGCAAGATAAGAAGAGCATTCAGGGTATTTTTGGTGCCGATGGCTTGCCTCCCAAGCCTTGCAACATCAACCATGCCTCGAAGTCTTCACAATCTAAGTACGAGCTCGACCCGGAGAACGGCTACCCCAAGAAGTTTGTACCTCCAGTTCCATTCTTTTGATCCAGGCTAATACGCTTACACAGATATACCTGCCGCACCTTTGTTTGATTAGACCAGCACATTCTGCAAGGAAATACAATTTCATTTTCATTTTTCATGTCTTTTGATTGGCAATTGCAAGTTCAGCAAGTAGCAGCGATAACCAACTATACAAAGTGCCCGCGTTTTGTTTAAAATGACAATAGGCACCGGTGGGGTATCATTCACACAATAAACGCAGCTGTGTAGGACCGTTAGATGGTAAAAGAGAGTGCATCGTAGTCGGACTTTGATTGGACCCAGCTTCTCCCCGCTCGGCATGAAAGATCCCCAGATAATGCAATCAAGTCTCGGGGCTAGATGTAGGACCAAAACTGGAAGGGTGAAATGAAGATTGAGTCTAACAGTACTAAGTTTCGAGGCAGCCTTTGGTATATAATGTACCACATGTTCCATGGATTGCCAGCTTGCCAATCGCCCTTGATCTACATGCATATCCGGATCTGGCGTGGAAAATGTCGATGGTACCTCTGAAGGGGACAAATCATAGACGAGCTCAGTATTGAGCGCCCTTCTAGACGATTTAAATTAGCTCCCAAAGCAACGTGAGAAGCAATAGATGTGGGACTGAATTTAGATGGCGACGTGATGGGCTATAGTGATGCATTTAAATATTGCGCAAGGACACTGTTTCGCCAGTGTCGTTAAACAACTCCTCCACAATTTAGCTCGTATGAACTTGATTTGTATGGTAACTATCCAACACTCTTGAACATCTCCCTTGATTTCCTAGAAATAGCCTTGAATGAAGCTAACCCCGGATGCGAGTTGACGTCATGGTCCTCCGCATCCTACAGTTGCGCTGAATCATGACGACGTCACCTCACAAACCCTGGTTGCAGAAACGCCCTTTCAGTACTTAAAGTACTTTGGCTCTTCTACTTTACTTTGAACTTTACACAAACTACTCATAATAACTTCAAAATGACTACCCTTCATTGTGAGTTGATACTACCATTACTCTTTGTCACTTGGAAACTAAAGATCTCTGCCATACAGATCTCCCCCCCGTGAAGCCCTCCGCCATTGCGCTGGGAACAATTTTCACCCACACTGCCTCCCTCGGCATCTTAGCCCCCGTTTTCGGTGACACCTATCACCGCGCTCAAGCCGCCAACTCCAAGGAGGAATTCATCAAGTCGAAGGAGGCTGCCGGCGCAGCCGCAGCCTGGGGAAGCTCCCTCGCGGGAAGTGCTGTTCAGACTTATGGTGTGGCTGCACTCATCAATGCCACTGGCACACTGAGCTACAAGGGTGCCGCATACTTGGGTGCGCTTATTTTCTTCGCAAGCTCAGCCCCAGGCGTACGTTCTCAATCCATCCTCCCTAACAACCCCCTCAAGCAATTCCTCTAACAAACCCATACAGGTTGTGAGCCAGGTGTTCTCTGAGAAGCGACCCCTCGACACTATCGCTGTCGGTGCGGTCTCGCGGGTGTTTGAGACGGTTGGACTCAGCTTGTTCCTTACCTGGTGGGGAACACGCACCCACCCCTTCGACTAAAGGATAGGAGATAGTGAGATGACATATGAAGCAAGAATTGCTGGTTGGGATCTGATGTAATTCTCCAGCTTGCACTTGAAGTAGTGCATGGATGTAAATTTACACGACTATGACATCAATGCATTCCAAGTTTCCTTCGTGCTGCACGTAGCGTGTGCTGCTAGTTGAGTATGAACTGGACTTGGGCTGTTGTAATCTCAAAGTGTGCAGTGTATCGAATTTTTCTGTCCTCTGGCAGGTAGATGTATATTAAAATTTCATGGTTGCGACCAATTAGGCAAAATGAGCCCACATACACCAAGCCCCAGACGATTAAAAGAGTCTCCACGCAAGTTTTGTGGTAACTCTCTAGTATATAGCCATATTTAGATGGAGAAAAAGCCTTCGTAGAGACTAGGGGTTACTTTCCAAACAATCCTCAGCCCCCTACTATGTCAGTAAGAACTCTCGATATAGTTCTACATTCGCACGGGCCTATGCTTCTCTGGGCCTGGATTCGGTTTCAGGGATTGGCATCCACATTTGCCCGATACAAGCCCTATCAAGCATTAATGCTAATTATGGAATATTGAATTTCTAAGGCTGTACTCCGAATAAGCTAGGATAAATAGAAATGAGGCGGATTAGGCGTGTTTAGAGCGTGCTACATACACTTCATGGGATGCACTTGATCCACATGTAGTTGACCGCTCTATACCTAGGAGATTGCTTGCTACGCATAAAGTAAAGAGCTACTATGCTAAATCTCGGGTTCATTGGAGTTTATTAACCAGTTATCTATCTATTCGTATTTAAGAACACATTTATACTTCAATGGTGGTGTAGAAATAGACGCTTGAAAGTACTTATCTCATGAGACGCGGGTTAAACCCCGCCGGACTTGGCCTCATAGAATGTAAGCATACACATACTAAACCTCAGATGTAGACTTGAACATATGAAAAAAACCGCTCAATTCCCATCTTTCAATTTGGCTCTTAGATTGAATACAATTTAAATAGACAAAATCGCCACGCAACCAATCATGTGATCGTTCTAGGTCTAATTCGCGATAAGCTTCAGATCCCCCACTAAAAACTTTCTCCGATCAACAGTCAACAATTCAACAAGTTTCCCAATATGATAGAGATACCAATGTCAAATCTTCCGGGTCCACAATCGAGCCCACAATCGAGCCCACCATCCAGTCCAGATGGATTCAATATCAGCGAATCCCTGGCGCCCCCGCGCGAACTCAAAGCTGCAGTGACAACGGACATCACATTCGACGGACTCCTGAAAGAACCATTGCTACTAAAAGAAGACCTGAAAGATGGATGCGGTGGCCAATTATGGCCAGCAGGGATGGTGTTGGCCAAATACCTCCTCAGTCGTCACGCCACCGATCTGTCTGATAAAACGATGTAGGTGATTGCCCAACCGGAGCAGTTTTCAGTCCTTCTTGTTTCGTCCTAATCCAACCTTCAATAGCGTGGAACTTGGAGCTGGAGGGGGCCTTGTTGGACTCGCCGTGGCCCGCGGGTGTCATCTCGAACAACCGATTTATATCACAGACCAACAACCTATGTTTTCCCTAATGAAGTCCAACATTCAACTAAACAATCTCGGCGCGAATGCGACTGCTGCGATACTAAACTGGGGAGAACCGATCCCAAACCAGATTCCCTCGACACCAGATGTTATCCTCGCGGCAGACTGTGTCTACTTCGAGCCGGCATTCCCTCTCTTGATCACCACGCTCCAGGATCTTCTGGGACCAAACACGGTCTGTTACTTTTGTTACAAGCGTCGCAGACGTGCCGACATGCGATTCATGAAGATGGCGAAAAAGGCTTTCGAAATGGAGCAAGTGCATGACGATCCTGGGGCTGAAGCGTATAATAGAGATAACATATTCCTCTACACGATACGTGCCAAACGTCTTGACCGGAAGTGACGCATGATGATGATATGTGCAATGCGAGAAAATAGATTTTTATGTAGAAGAAATATGACTCCTGAATAGTACATACTGGCCCTTTTAATTTATCCCTCACAATTTCAGATTGTCTCCTCTGTTCTTGGCGCCCTCGTTGACAGAGCCACCGTCGATATTCGTCATACGGCCCTCTTTGTTAATGATCTTGACCCCTCCTTTCTTCAGGTCTGAAATCACCTGTTGTTTCTCGGCAGCCTTGCCAGGCTTTTCCTGAGTAGGTTTGGTAGCATCGGCCTTCTTTTGGGTTTGCTTATTCTGGCGTCTGTTCTTGGCCTTCTGCTCACGGGTCATCTCCTCTTTGGAGATAGACGCGCCAGTCTTGAGAACCACCTCTCCCTTAACTCGGCCATCATCACCGGGTGTGTAGATCTCCTGCGGCGCAAGTCCAACAGGGCCACCGGCGGCACTACCAGCCGTTGGGCGTGCATCTTCCATCATGATTGTTGGCGCATCGGTAACAACGTTGATGCTTGCTTGGGCAACCTTAGGCTTGTAGTGCCAGTTGCATAGCGTGTCCAATTGGGAGCTGATCTCGTTCCAAAGACTAGTGATCTCGGCATGTTCCCGCATCAACTTGCGGTCCTTAGTATCCACAAAGTTGGGGTCATTAGCACGAAGATGTTCAGTTTCATACATCTCAGCCAGACCTTGCTGCGGTTTGGTATCATCCAGTTCGAAGCGGGGCTTTCTTCCGGCTTGCTGACCCTCGGCGCCTGGCCGACGGCGGATGACTTCGTCGAAATCCATGGCGAGAATTCGGCGCTTGACTAGTTCTTCGATGTCCTCGGTAGTCTCGTTGGTGTTGACGGGAACAGGCTTTCCAATTCGTTCAAAGTCGAGGTCTTCTTCGATGAGAGAATTGACGGGTCGCTCGACAGCCCTGGCCTCACCAGTATACATCCATTCCTTCTTGGCCACGTTGGCCGCCTCTAGACGACGAATTTCATCCGCGATACGTGCCCTCTGCTTTTCATGTGTGGAGCGAGGAGCAGTAGGATCCGCAGATCCGTCAAGATTCTCCTCCTCTTCTGCGGAGTCCGCATCACCGTCGTCAAACAAGTCCCGTCGAACGTCATCCATAGCGCGTTTGACGTCGCTCTCATCAACTGCCAGTTCATCGGGCTGGGTTTTCGGGAGGGCGCGATGTTTCTTGTTAGAGACTTTGCGGGGTGGAGGTGCGAAGAAATCGGCGTATTTGATATCGCTGGTGTTTACCCAGGCAGAGGCTTCGCCGTCGTCCATGTCTGCGGCGTCTTCATCATCAGAATCGGAGTCGCCGTGGAGATCGGCATTGCCGAAAGTCGGCCCTTCCTCCTCACTATCATCCATGCTTTCGTCCTCCTTTTCTGTTGAGCGTGAGTTCTTCGGTTTATTGTCACTGCGAATGGTTGCAGCATTTCCAGCTATCAACGGGTTCGAATGCCAGTCAAGATCCTCCTCGTCGCTGTCCTCACCCTGCTCGGGTCCTCCTGCGGCATCCTGTCTCTCCAAAGCCTCGGACTGTTTGTTGAAGTCGTCGATGTTAAAGAATCCATCGTTCAGTCCAAATCGATCCTCGACAAACACTTCAGGCTCTCCTTCGGCAGAGCCAAGTGAGGAATTATCGTCGTCCATACCTTCAATGTCTTCCATGTCCTCGTCAGATCCCATATCGACCTCTTGGTATGACTCTTCGTCGAGATCGTCTTCGGCACCTGAGCCTTCGGAGAGATCTTCAAGCATGCTTTCGTGGCTGTCACTGTCACGGTCGCTTTGCGCACCCTCGGGGTCAGAGTTGCTTTCGAGCTGCTCAGAGTCGGCCGAATCCATGTAGCCGCCATGTTGGGAAATCAAAGTGATGTCGCGCTCAATCTCATCGCCGGTCGATTCAAGAATCCGTGTTGCTTGTTCCCATATTTGATTCGAGGTGAAACCGTCCACGTAGAGGTTCTTCAACTGAAGTTGGGTGACTGAATCCGATTCGAGGTCCGACCTTTTGCGCTTTTTGTTAAGTTGCCGACGAAAGGTTTGGGAGTCCACGACAGAGCCTGCGAGGGAGTCCAGGATGTACTTTGCAGAATCCACGACGGTGGTATGTAAATCGTTCGTGGGACGGAGGAACCCCCATGGCGAGGACAGAGCGGACGAAAGAGCCATCTGTTTGGAGGGTTTGGCGGTAGTAGCCGAGACGGACTTGGATTGGGACTGCGCTTTCGCCATTGTGAAAAGAGCCAGGCAATTTGTTGAAATGCTAAGAGTCTCGAGAAGCGGAAAGCGCATTGGAAAAAATTATCGCCGGGCGGACGGTTGAGAGCCAATCATGTTGCTGGTTGATAAGATAAGGACTGCCTATACCTATATCAAGTCGACTGCTCCTACATCATTCATTCAAAACACCTGCTACGACTCTCTATATTGATTAACTATAGCTTTATTCTAGAATCGCTTCTTATTTAAAGAAATTAACAAAGTCTGTAATTCTTTGAGCTAAAGCCATTGGAAGCCACTCATATCTACGGAACCCAAGGGTTAATAGCTGTGTACAACTAACAACTAGTTAGCACTTGGTCAATATTTCCACGTTCTCTTCAGTTGCTCTCTTAACGATTGAAAACCCCCTTGAAGTGTGGTTTCTACAGGACTTACAAATGAAACGTGGTTATTTTTTTTTTGAACTGACTATGTGAAGAACGCCACCAACTACCTAAATAGCGGGCAGATGACGCCAAACTCTGTCATACACATGTTGATAACTTTGACGACAAACGTGGCACAGAGGTAGTTCTGATATGGAAACCGAAGCAGGATAAAGTAAAATCATCTAGACATCAAGATTCTCGTCCGATTGGACATGTAGGTCGTCCCTGGAATGGGCAACCACTAGCACAACAATGAAGGATCGAATAGCCCAACGTGTTCGATCAAACCACCGCCACAGAAAAGGTCTAGAACAAAGATGCTCTGGGTGGCCCATCACTTATGGGTTGTATGTTGCCTCAATACAGGCAAAGGTTGGAAGAAGTAGAATGGAAGTAGACCATCATAGTGACATTGACGGCATTGCCCAAGTTTCTGGTGGCCATTTGTCACCTGTCTTACTTAAAAAGTGGTTTCCTACCTTGAGAATTCTATTTTATCTGCAATTTCACACAAGATATCTATCTCTACCACTCTTGTCCATATTCACTTGCTAAACTGGTCAAAATGCCTGTTACCCAGTGTATCGAGCGAGAGGCCAGTGGGTCTAAATCCCAATTTGCGCCAGGTGAGTAATTCTTGTTTGTACAAGTACTGATTGTTGAAATGACACTTCTTGTAGGCCACAAGATTCCTATCCAACACTTGACAAAGCCGGGCCTGCAGTCCGACATGGGAGAGCCTAAGCCTGTGTCAACTCACATCCCTACCGAGGATTACGGCTATCAGATCTACAAAGCCGCTGGAAAGCTCGAAGGAAAAAGAGCAATTATCACCGGTGGTGACTCTGGAATTGGCCGGGCAGTTGCAATCCTATTTGCAATGGAGGGTGCGTCTAGTGTCATCGTTTACCTGCCAGAAGAGGAGTCAGACGCACAAGAGACAAAAAGGAGAGTTGAACAATATGGACAGCAGTGCCATACACTCGCTCTCGATATTCGCAAGAAGGAGAATTGCCAGAAGATCATCAATGTGACCCTGGAAAAGATGGGTCGTATTGATATTCTTGTGAATAACGCGGCGTTCCAAGACATGCTGAGCGATATCAGTGAGCTAGATGAGTGAGTTGCCTTGTAACTTGCTTTTCGGCCAACATCCTACTAACGCACCAAAAGATCCCAATGGGAGAAGACCTTCGACACCAACATTCACTCTTTCTTTTATCTTTCCAAGTATGCTCTTCAGCACATGCAAAAGGGTTCTTCCATCATCAATTGCGCATCTGTCAATCCTTATATTGGCCGAGGCGATCTCCTGGATTACACCTCGACCAAAGGAGCAATTGTTGCATTTACTCGCGCCTTGTCAAACCAGCAGTTGAAGAAAGGCATTCGAGTCAATTGCGTTTGCCCGGGTCCAAGTAGGTCCTCCATTTATTTATTCCAAGTCAAATGCTAATAAGACAAGTCTGGACGCCCCTGATCCCCGCAACAATGCAAACAGAGGCCATGGAGCAATTCCATGCAGTACCGATGGGTCGACCCGGTCAACCTAGCGAGGTTGCAACATGTTTCGTTTTCCTCGCAAGTCAGGACAGCAGCTATATTTCTGGACAGTGTTTGCATCCCAACGGAGGTATGATGGTCAACGGATAGGAGGAGCAGCCAGGGAGTCAATTGTGCTGTACCAGCGTTTCAAACCCACAGATTGAAATCCACAGCGTTCAACAAAACAACTTGAGAGTCTTGGACTAACGTCCTCGATAATCTACGCCAAAACACATACACCCGAGACAAAAAAAACCACCACATATGGCGCCATACATGTAATATCTGGTATCTTAGTGTCGCTTGTTGTAATTGGAACTGTACACTGCCATTCGAGGTGAATCATTCTGCTTTATCACCTTCCTCTTTGGAATCTTCAACACTAGGCGCATTGGCAACAATCTCCTGTACAGCGTCCACAGTCGCGTCTGGGCCACCGGCCTTGCGAAGCAAGACCTTGCCCTTTTTATCCACGGCAAAGACACCTCGCAGTGTACCCTTGGGAGATTTCTTGAACCCAATAGCTGCAATGAGAGTGGCCTTGGGATCGCACAAGAGAGGGTAAGGGAGGTTTTGTCTTGTCTTGAACGTAGTGTTGGCCTTAGGAGAGTCGCCTGAAAGACCGTAGATAGAAAGACCAGTAGAAGTCAGGTGGGTGTGGTTGTCACGGAACAAGCAGGCTTGCTTGGTACCTGGATGAAGCGACGTAAGCAGTCTGATGGGGGTAAACTGGTTGCAAAGTATTCCAAGAATACAGCCAGGGTCTCTCAAGAGAAGAACTGAGCATGACGCGGGTACTTACAGCCAGGTGTTGAGGCTTTGGGGTAAGTAAAGAAAACCACGCCCGCCTTGCTCTCCTCGAGGAGCTTCTTCAAAGTTGTTGTTTCACCCTCGTTGGTCTCAAACTCGCCGCCAAAGGTCTCTATGTCGATTGTATCATCCACCTCAGGGACCGCTGGCGCGGGACTATTTTCAATGGCATTATCGGTAACATTTGCGTCTTGTTTGGGCTTGGGAGCTGGTTTGGTCTTTTTCTCTGCGACAGGGAGTGGGGCTGGCGCCTTGCGTTTCCGGAGTTCGACCATGACGTGGAGAAAAAGAGATAAAAAATAAAAAAAGACTCGGGAGAGGAATCTGTGTTAAATAGAGCTTGGACGTTCTGGAACAAATCAGCTGCAGATCTGCCCGGTGCAGCTGCGCCGTTGATTGTGACAGATTATATAAGCAGGAACCGGGAAAACCCGGTGGCGCTGTGGCGCTGTAGTGCTGTGGCGTTCCGAACGCGCCCTGACCCTGACCCGAAGGGAAAAAAAAAGGATTTTCCCCTCAGACGGTCGATCGTTAAAATCCACTCTTCTCCATTTTTTTCTATCTGACTGACTCATTATTTGCCTTCTCATCCCATAGATTTAGACTTGAAATCTGCCTTCTGCAAGTCCTTCACATTTCATCTCGCACTCTCGACTTGAGTCAGTCTTACTTTCTCTATCATCAACAATCATCAAAACCACCAACTCTGTCTCATCCTATCCCATCCTAGCCGCCACAGCGCTTGTCAAGGCTATCCTTCATCCAAATACCCCATCTTAAGATTACGCAACCCAACGGCATCATTGAGGTGAACTACCACTCGTCATCATGAAAGTCTTCTCTTCCGAATGCACATTCGACTACTCCTGGGACGAAGTATCAACTGCAAACTGGCGCAAGTACTGTCCGTGGAATGACAAGTCTACACATGTCGTTGGCGTAGATACACTTTCTCGAACCGTCGATCCAAGCACTGGCATTGTGAGTCATTCAACTTTGAAGCCGAACTTGAATATACATGAACCTTTGTGCTAACTATTGCGTCTTAGTTGCGAACAGAGCGTCTTATCACATGCGACCAGTCCGTACCACAATGGGTTCTCTCGATTCTCGGTGGAACGAATACGTCTCACGTCTACGAAGTTTCTTATGTTGATCCTGTTGCAAAGAAAGTGACCATGTGCTCAACCAACCTGACATGGTCGAACGTCCTTAGCGTGCGCGAGACGGTCATCTACCGCCAATCCTCCCTTAATCCGGCCACCACAACTAAATTTAGCCAAGAAGCAAAAATCACTGCTCTCTGCGGTGGATGGCAGAAGATTAAAAACAAGGTGGAAGAGGCAAGCGTGGATCGTTTCCGTGAAAATGCCAAGATTGGCCGCGAAGGATTCGAAACCGTCCTCGAGATGAGCCGCCGCGTCTTTGGCGAACAACGCGAACTTGAGAAGCAAAGCCTCAAATCATGAGAGACCCTTGACCATCTCGACCCTTTCCCAACATCATATCTCTTTTCTTTCCCCACAGCATTCAACATCAAGCGACTGCATATTCCGGCGTCTGTTTTACATATTCGAGCACGTGGCGCCAAGTGGAGTTCTTTATCTTAATCTGGCTCTCTTTCGATTCTCGACTCTTGCAATCTTCTCATGAATACCACCTCTCGCCTCACGAACTGACACGGCCACAAAAAAATGGTTGGATTACAATTGTTTATATCCTGCTTTTAGTACTGAGAAGCCGCAATCAAGAAGGCGGCACAGATGTCTTGTTAAAAGCTTTCAAATTTAGATCTGAAATTCTATTATCGTACAACATTCAACTCGATAAATTCATACATCATGAGAAACCCAACCAAATATCCCGTCAAACTGACCATAAACACCAGACCCAAATATAAAGCAGTTAAACCTTGCTGCTATCCCAATAAACCGCCAAGTACCACCCGGTTGACCCCAGCAATTTCATTCTTGACACTATTTCGGCTCGCATCTTCAAACTCACGCACTGCGCCGGCTACTATGATCTTTCGTAACCTGGCATCTGCTTTGGAAAATGTCTCGCCTAGGGCCACCGTACAGACTGAGGGAGATGATACTAAGGCGGCGAGTCGGCTATAAGCGTCAATCAAGACATCGCATAAGGTTGCAAATGTCTCAAAGAAGTCCGGCTCGAATGGCAATGATGGCGTGAGAAGATAAGTGTATTCCTCGCCAGGATGAAGATCCGAAGACTCTGTTAGTGGGAAGGAGGTGACCGAGGCAGAGGACGCCGACCCAAGTGTCCCTACGGTGCTTTTCAGGTCTGAAGGGTCACTGGACTGCAATGGAAGTCCAATCTCATTTGCGGAGCTGGCACGTCGGGTCTTTGTACCTGCATGCGCCGCGCGCTTAAACATTTGGGGTATGCGGGCCCTTGCAAGACTTGACGAGGAGCTACCGTCTGGGGGATGCACTTGCTGGAATGCTTCAAATTCCAGGAGTAAAGCATTCAGAGCACGCACATACTCGAACGGCGTGGAGGCAACGTCAAGGATTGTTGGCAATGACAAGCCTAGAAGCAAGTAATTGATTGCGCGGCGAGAAAGTTTCCGGGCTTCAAAGTATGGTAGCCGAGCGATGTCAGCCCGAGAGAAATGCACAGTATTGAACCAATAAACTCTTCCTTCGTGACTATACGTAGCATATAATAAATTAGCAGTGCCCAAATGTAGTTAGACCGCGATCCACTTACGCCTTTCTTAAATAGTCAAGAGTCGATATCCGTTTCGCGGCCATCTCATGGATTTGCTGATAGATTGCGCCGGCACTTTGCGGGCCTAGAAGGTTCCCTCCGCTGACGACTGGAGGTGGCATGGCATACGCCCCTTCATATCCACTATTGGACTTGACTGTGTCCCGCCGTGAGATGCCTGGGGCAAATGTAGAGGGAATCATTGGCGTGGGTGGGCAATATCGGAGCAAAAGGATGAAGGTGGACAGGGGTCGCAGGACAAAGCTGAGGTATCAGAAAAGGCGAGAGAGCAAGAAGCCCAATGAATCAGATGATAGGCGAGTAGGTAAGGCCCCAATTTGTGCACGGGCTGTTTTCAAAGGTTATTGAGACTCAGGAGATCCGAAGAGACAATTGAAGTTCCCCGCAGGCTAGACTGTGATGCCGGAGATTACTGTAACCGTACCCCCTTTGTAATTTTACCGTCGATCACATCCCCTCGCTCTCCTATACAATTCAGGTCTATACTTTGTTACAATTCTGAACTTGTTACGGAGTGCTATTATGAAAATGGACTCAACACCCCTTGAGGAGCAAGTTCCTTTGCCTGGTCAATGGCCTGTTGATCCCCAGGAGGATGTACCAATCTCGGAGGACAGACTTTGGGTTGATGGATGCTTCGACTTCAGCCACCATGGTAGGTTTGCAACTAGTGCCCAGTGAATTGCTGTGAGCTAATCGATGGGCTACTCTACAGGTCATGCCGGTGCTATGCTTCAAGCGCGCCAGCTAGGAAAGGCCCTTTACGTGGGCATACACTCCGATCAAGCTATCCTCGAGAACAAGGGCCCGACAGTGATGTCACTGGAAGAACGGTTGGTTTGACCAGAAACTGCTTTAACTGTCAGGCTGATATTAATGTCACTTCCATCTAGTGTTGCAGCCGTTGACGCGTGTCGGTGGGCAACTCAAAGTGTTCCCCATGCCCCCTACGTGACCTACCTACCCTGGGTCTCCCACTACGGATGCAAGTACGTTGTCCATGGAGACGACATTACTTCTGACAGTGATGGAAATGACTGTTATCGCTTCGTCAAGGCCGCTGGACGATTCCGTGTTGTCAAACGTACCCCAGGCATCTCGACAACCGATCTTGTTGGCCGCATGCTACTGTGCACCAGGAATCACTTCGTCAAATCCGTGAAGTGTACACTCGCTGGGCTGGAAGGATATGGAAGTCCCGAGGAGCGTAAGACTTCTGCTACAGATCTTCTACAGAGAATCCAGGATTATGCGACGGACGAGAGCGGTCTTCAGCCTGGCCCTCAGGTGTGGACATGGTCTGGCTCAGGCTCCGCGAAGATGAACCACCTCGTCGAGGAGGCTGGCCTATTCGAGACGTTGGTTGATGGAAAGGGACCAAAACCTGGGCAGAGGATTATCTACGTTGACGGAGGGTTCGACCTCTTTTCTTCCGGTCATATTGCGTTCCTGCGCAAAGTCACAGAGCTTGAGGAGTCTGAGGGCCGGCAACGTGGCTGGTATGAGCCCGATCAAGTTGCAAAAAGGTTGAAGGAATATGGTGACGACTATGCACCGGCCTACATTGTCGCAGGTATCCATGATGACGATGTGATCAACCACTGGAAAGGCTTGAACTACCCAATCATGAACATTTTCGAACGTGGTCTCTGTGTTCTTCAATGCCGCGTAAGTCCTTCTTGGTTTGTATTCACCTGCTCAATTTGCTGACCTTCGCCAAAGTACATCAATGCTGTCATATTCTCTGCACCATTTACCCCCAGCGAGCCATATCTGAAGGCTATCCCATGGGGCACTCCCGATGCTGTCTACCACGGCCCTACGACCTTCATCCCGCTAACATATGACCCTTACACTGCCCCCAAGAAGATGGGAATCTTCCGGGAAGCCGAGCAGCATGCATTCCAACACGTGAACGCTGGCGAGATTGTTGGTCGCATCCTGAAGAGCCGTGAAGCTTATGAAGCCAGACAACGTGCCAAGCTAGACAAGGCCATTGCTGAGGATCTGGTGAAGTCGCAAGAGGCAGCCGAAGCCGCTAAAGGAGCCCAATAGGCTGACTGTCGATTTTTTTGAGAAATACTAATCATGTAATGAAGATCAAATGTACATATGTTAGGCCTCATCAACTGGGGTTCCTTCTAATACAAGCCTCTACCTCGTTCGTTTGCATGGCGGCTGACAAATTGGTCTACTGAAGTAGAAGGATTGGAGATCACCTTCCATTTGTCAAATCATCAAAACAACTATCTGACCAGCAGGATATTATGACCAGAATACATAAGAGACAAATAATTTTACAGTGACAGCCATCTATCAAATTGATAGGCTGAAATCTTTCACTCGGGCTCGGTTGCTATTTATTCATCCGCCGCAACCAGGACACCCTTGGTCTCCAGAAGTTTGGCAAGCTCGCCATTTTGGTGCATGGACATCAGGATATCACAACCACCAATAAACTCCTTCTCGAGGTATAGTTGGGGAATGGTGGGCCACTCGGAGTATTCCTTGACGCCTGTAACGCAGCATGATTAGCTATCCAAACCTGGCAGGAGGTTCACTCAAGATAATCCCAACGTACCTGAGCGCAGCTCCGCATCCTCCAGCACGTTGAAAGCAACAAATTTCTTGGGATCAACACCCTGCAGGCCCAAGATTTGAATAGTGGCACGAGAGAAACCACACTGGGGAGTCTCAGGTGTACCCTTCATGAATAGAACGACGGGGGCGGAAGAGACCGCCTTATCGATCGCCGCCCGGGTTTCGTTGGACAGAAGGCGTGCATGGAGGACAGAAGGAACAAGAGGGCCCGAGGGTAATTGGATGGCCGAGCGGACGGGGCGCAAAAAGGTTGGTCGCGAGACCGGGCGGAAAGCCTGCAGAATTCTTGTGAGATAGGATCTTTCAGAGACTAGGGGACAATTCAAGCGTACCGATGCAATTGCTCTGGAAAACATTTTGAAAATGATGGTAGTTTACAAGTGAAGAGGTTCAACGCAAAGTTACCTCGGGGAACTTTTACTAATCAGCGGTTGGTCCGCGGGTCTCCTCCCCACACATCGAAAGCTCTCTAGGGCTCTTTTCTTATTCATTATCTTTTGGTTCTGCCTTTCTGTTACGATAGAGGGCATTGCCATGGATTCCCAAATATCGCCTACGCCGTTTATTGCCCAGCAGTATGCAAATGACAAGAAGATTCATGTGTTGCTGGCAGCCGCTACCACTAAGCTGCCCAACATTGCAGAGGAACTGTGTCGTAATAAAAACATCTCAGTCCGCATCCTAGTTACCGAGCCAGTGGAGAAGTTTCTCATTGAACAGTGTTTGGAGCAACCAGACCTCGATAATCTGCTTCAAATAGATGGCGTGGACGCTATCTACCGGGACGAAGATGAATGGTCTCCATCGTGGACGCGCGGAGGACCAGTTCTGCATATTGAGCTGCGCAAATGTCAGTGGCTATTTAGATACCTGATGCATGATACGACGGACCAACTAACATTATCATAGGGGCACATATTCTACTAGTCGCCCCAATGTCTGCAAATACCATGGCGAGAATGGTCAATGGGATCGCTGACAACTTGCTTCTCTCCGTCATCAGGGCCTGGGATACGACTGGAATTGTGGATATGGGATTCAAGTCTCGGAAACCTATGATCTTTGCCGCGTTGGGCATGGACGTCTGTATGTACCGACATCCAGTGACCGAGAAACAGCTTAAAGTTCTACGTGATCAGTGGGGATGGAGTGAATCAAACCCAGAAGGCTGGGTGACTGTGCTGCCTCCTATCGATAAGAGCCTGGCCTGTGGAGATACCGACACCGGAAGCATGATGGACTGGAGAGATATTGTCACCGTCATCCAAAACTACGTAACGGGGTCGATGCAGAAGCCGTGAGAAAAAGGGACCAAACCTTGAACGCCTGTTTCTATTGTTATCATTACATGGTTATTGTTTTGACTCGGCCACCACATGCTCCGGCTCCGTCTTGTTGTACAGACCAAGGAACTGCGTCGCATACTCGGCGAGCAAGCCCAAGGAAATTCCTCCACCGGTCAGCAGACATCCGTTCTTGAACCACCACCAGCAGTTTCGGACACTCTTCAACTGAACTTTCCAAATCATGAGACCAAGCGACAGAGCGGCACTGCCACAGCTGCCAACGAAGAAAACAGGTCCGCAACCGGCGGCGACTCCTGCAGCCGCAAGGAGCGAGACTTGAGTCACCGCCAGACCACTCAGGATGGCCTTAGTGTTGTGCTCATGGCGGAGGGCAATTGACTTGATTCCGGCCTTGACATCGTCTTTAATGTCCATGTGTGCATAAATCATGTCGTACAGAACTGTCCAAGCAATACAACTGGAATAAAGGGCACCTGCGGCCATCATGGCATCATGATTGGCAAGCAGGTCCACCCCCAACGCTGGGAATCCCATGATCGCTCCCCATGAAAAGGCAAGACCAAGTACAGCTTGCGGGTAATTGGTCACGCGCTTAGCAAGGGGATAGGCCACCACGATAGGCATGCTAGGAATCCCATACCAAAGGCACTGACTGGGAAACGAAAGAAGCACGCCCAACCCTGCCACCAACTGTGAACCCGTAAAGAGGACAGCCTTTTTCGGCGAGAGCGCACCTCTGGCAATGGGTCGGAACTTGGTGCGTTCGACGTGAGGATCCAGGTTGCGGTCCCACAGGTCGTTGATCGCGCAGCCTGCACCGCGCATAATCAGCGCACCGGAAAAGAACAGTGCTGCTGTGCCCAAGACAGGTAGAGGTTCCACACCAGCCATTGGCGCAGCGAGGAGGGTGGAAAAGAGAGTTGGGAAGAATAGGTAGTAGGTGCCAGTGGGCTTGTCCAACCGCACCAATTCCGCATAAGGTATCCATGAACTCGGCAGGGACGCAATCAATCCGGTCTTCGGTGGGATGTAGTGAGTGGCTGGGTTCTTCTCCGCACTGTACGTCTCGATAGGTTGTGTTGCGGGCGATTGCAACTGTGAGCTGTGTCGGACTTGGACTTGTGTTGTTCGCAAAGCATTGGAAGAGGCACCGGCGATAGATCGGCTGCCTTTCAACTGAGTTGAGGAGTAGGCATTGCGAGCAAGTGTGGAAAGGCGCCCATTGTGAAGACTAGCGAAATTGACCTTTTGCCTGTATTGGGATAGTCGAGCACGGAAGAGACGGGGGCTGGTGGAAAGCATGGCAACGGCAGGAGATCTAAAAACCGAACATGGGAGTGTCAATAAAGGCAACTAGCAATCTTCATATTCCTCTCGGAAGCCTTTCAAGGTCTGGCCATCTGAAGATCTGGAGATGTCGGAAATTACATCGTCATGCAGGAAAAAGCGGCTTCGTTCCTCCCACTAAGCCTATTTGGGGCATCGGATCTATGAGTCGCGCTGTCACGATGTACTGAGACTACCAAGCATAATATACACTGAGGTGGTTTTTTACTAAAACGTCCAATCGAAATAAAGATTTTTATAGTATGTTGAGTCCAAGTTTCCTTGGAAATGGAAATTTAGTTAAAATGGTGAAATAACCGTGACAGTTACAGGGTTCAAGTGTAGCTTCCTGCCTGAGGCCACAAAACGCGGCATCCCGCGTCCCCCAGAAGCTGATGGTCGCCCGAATTGAAGGGAACGAGATGCGACATCACTTTCTTTCACATCACTAAATCTGATTCCAACCCTTTCGACTCCCAAGCTTAAATAGTCATCTTCTACTCTTCTGTTCTAGCTACTGTGGATCCAACTCCTCCTCTGCTCCTTCCCACTCCACTCTATCTCGTCCCAACCACATCACGCCCACACAACAGAAACAGCGAAGGACAGCCCTATTCATCCAGCTAGTTGACATTTCTGAGTCTTGCACAACCTCCAATTTGGCCCGGACCACCGATTTTACCTCTCAAAACATGAACTTCGCTCCTGCAAGCTTCGCGCTGATCACGAAGATCAATTAAACATCGATACCTCGCCCCTCTCAGACTCCTCAGTCGCCATGCCGGCACACAGAACACGCCTGGCTTTCGAGCCACTATCACCTCTTCTCGATATACATCGAGTTGTTGAGTCGACTCCCAATTTCGAGTTTGCGATGAACATCACCTGTGACTCAATTGAGGAATTTCCTCTTGAGGATTTTGAGAGGCTTGTCCTGTTCCAGGTTGTCCTGAGCGGAAGACCGTTGGTCATCAGAGGATTCAACCAACGTCTTGACAAGGGTATTTTCTCCGAGAAATGGCTCCGAGAAAACTACGCGAAGAAAGGTGACTTCGGGCCCTCGAATCATCCCATCTTTCGGTGGTTGATACTAACTACAACCTATCTTAACAGTCGAGGAAGTTCGAGATCTGGTAAAGAAGAGGACCCAGAATTTCAGCATGGGTCACTACCTCGAAAGCCTGTCACTTCTCACTCGGCAGGTGACAGTCCACAACTACACAAACAAAGACGTTCAACGGCTCTACCTCAAAGACATCGACTGTCCACCTGAGTGGCGTTCTTATCTAGAGAACCTACTACCGCCGTCACTGTTCTACCTGAACGAAGCACCTCAAACCTTTGAAGGACCTGCGTCAGGAAAGACGAATCTGTCTGGGATTCCCAAGACCACGCAAGGCGGCCTCATCGCGCCAGCGGGCGATTTGATGAGCAGCCTGCCCCCAACTATGCGCGCAGAGAATCTGATGTGCTACATTGGCCACGAGGGCACGTACACACCAGCACACCAAGAGATGTGTGCCAGTCTGGGCCATAACATCATGGTCGATGCGTCGGATGGGTCTCCTGAATACGGCAAGCCGACAGAGCCGGGTTCTTCAATCTGGCTGATGACAGAGACCAAAGACCGGCGGGTTGTTTCTGAATACTGGATGTCTGTTCTTGGGCACGACATTGACATTGAAGATTTCTTTGCTCCCTTGCATGCATGGGAGATTGCACCATTCAAGACCTGGGTGGTGGAGCAAAAGCCCGGTGACCTTATACTTGTGCCCCCTCTTGCCGCGCATCAGGTCTGGAACCGTGGCACCCGGACAATGAAAGTTGCCTGGAATCGCACGACTGTTGACACGCTCGAGCTGGCTCTGCGTGAAGCTTTGCCGCATGCGCGAATGGTCTGCCGTGATGAACAATATAAGAACAAAGCCATTGTCTACTACACGCTTGAACGGTATTCCAAGTTGTTGCGGCAAGCAAAAAAGGTCAGTCATCCGGTGGTAAGTCAACTTTGGGATGATTTCAAGCGACTGTTCGACATGTACAAGAACATTTTGTTGTCTGAATCCTTCTCACAAAAAAATCCAGAGAAGAATGTCCAATACCATGAGTTCCAGAGCAACATCACCTGCTCGTTTTGCCGTTGTAACATATTCAACCGGTTTCTCACCTGTACTGGTTGTGCAAATAGTCTTGGCGGCGACGAGGACCCGTACGACGTATGCATGGATTGCTATGTCATGGGTAGAAGCTGTGCCTGTGTTTCCAACCTCAAGTGGATGGAGCAATTTCCATGGAAACACTTGACCGAACGCTATGAGACATGGCGACGGCTAATAATTTCTTCTGGTGAAGACTACAATGATTTGAAGGTTCAGTTTCCCACTTTCATTGTCGCCCGTGGCCAGGCAGGCAAAAAATCTGTGGCGGAGATCTGTCAAGAGCAACTGCTGCGGCGCCCCTGGAACGACCCCCAAAAGCCCAAGCCCGTGTTAGACAATACTATCGAAGACGCCGACAGCGAATCTGATGGCAACAGTCGGTCGAAAAAGCGCCGCAAACTGCGACAGTCTCTCATGGCAAAATTGGATGAAGTCCACCGCTGCCACGTTTGCCTTCATTTTGAGGTCAACTGGAAGCTCGCGCCTTGCTCAAACTGCGACCAGCGCTACTGTTACGGCAGCTTGTTCCGTGCGTTTGAAATTTCCCCCCAGGAGGCCATGGAGAAGCACCACTGGCTCTGCCCGAAATGCCGCAAGGAATGCAGCTGCGGCGCTTGCCAGCGTGATCCATCAATGAAACCATACGAACCTAACTGCACCATTCTGGGCCATGACACCAGCAAGGTTGCCGACCCTCGCAGCATTGAGACCTTGGTGGATTTCCGGAAATCGAATTTGTGGTGGTTGAAAAAATTTGGCGACGACGTTCATGGACGCATTCAAAAACGCCAGAAGGAAGCCGAGGAAGCTGAACTGGAACGACAGAAGACCCTGGAAGACCAGGGCTTCAGCTTCGAGTCAAGTCCGTTCGACCAGTCGGCGCAAAATGACAATGGGAACGATGAAACCCCACTGGGCTTTGATGAGAACAATGGGGGAATTCCCGTTGATCCATCATTGATGGTCCAGGGACCTGTTGCGAGCGCAGGCACTTGAACCGGCTCACGAATTTTGCTGGATTTGAGTATATGACAGAGATCACTTGCGCAAGAGGGCACAACCAGAGACTCAGAACTGATTGAGGGTTTCTTGTGTGATACGTGTATCCCACGAACTACGATGGGCATTGAATGTTTTGCGACAGGGTGTTTGATTAAGAAAATCGGATGTGTGGTTTGTGATTCCCCGAAGGGTTCATCTCTTCTGCGACACCATGGTTTGACAAAAATCTGGCTGTACTTAATTAATGAACATATGAATTCAAGTTGATATCAAACTAAATTCATGAATAACTATTGGTTAGGCGCCTTTGTATTCGTATTGTAGATCCTTGAGGGATGCAAGGTCAACAGAGAGCATGACCTTTTGAGCAAGTAGAATCACTGCGAGCATGGCTATACATAGTCAGACTCAATACCTCTCAACCGGAAAAGAAAAGACTTACCTCCAGGAATCAAGTATAGCACTGGCTGGATCCTGTAAGACGATCCTGTGGAAAAAAAGACCACAGCCAGCAACAAACAAATCGCACTGTTGCCAGGTACCAGAGCCACATGAAGCCGAGCAATACGTTCGGTATGGAAAGTCACAGGTTTCTTGTCTTTAGGGTCAGGCTGCAGAGGGGAGCATTTCATAATATAGGCCGTTGTCAACAACGAAACAAGGCCGAAGAGCGAGAACAATCGTTCCGCCTGGCTGGAAGCTGACTGGACCGAAGGCGCAAATACTGTAGCAGCCAGCAGTGGAAGCGCAGTAAGAATCATCTGTGGACCCTATTTAGCCTTGAATCTTATTGATAAGGAACGAAAGACTGAAGGAGAGATATATACACTATACTGGGCATTGCGAGTATCATTCTGGCTCTGCAACAACTCGATGAGCTGTTCTTGTTGCTCTTCATCCAACTCCTCTCGCTCACCCTCTGATTCCTCAGGGTATCGAAACGCCTTTCGCAATCTCACCGTAACCATTTCGCGAAATCGTTAAACGAAAAACAAAAGCGTTGTCTGCTCAACCAGTGGTGGTGGCAGTGACGTCGAAAGGTTAATTCTGTTTGTCTTGTTTGACACTCTTTTCTTCCGCGACCTCTCGCCCCCAATCCAACTACCAGCTAAACAAACACCAAATAAACCCCCCCCCCCCCCCCCCGAAAACCAAAGTTATGTTCTTCTCCCGAGTATTTACGCGGCGCGCCGCGCTTGCCCGGAAATTCATTCGATCCAACATCGCCAGCCGACGCACAATGATAGCTGCGCCTGGTCCGAACACAGGACCACTACTGGAACGACGTGCGGACCGCGAGCTACCGAACCCGAACCCAACCCGGAAGTGGCTTCTTACACTCCCGATCTTCCTTATCGCAACGGGAGCTGGCATGCTTGGAATCTTCAATTACCAGAAGTCATCGTCGAGCATCGTGAGCAGCACGCTGTACGCGCTGCGGACGTCGCCGCGGGCTCGTGAGATCCTCGGCGATGAGATCTACTTCGCACAGCAGATTCCTTGGATCAGTGGAGAGATGAATCAACTACATGGTCGCATTAATATCTCGTTCTGGGTCAAGGGGACGAAGTCCCAGGGCAAGATGAACTTCAGAAGCATTCGGCCAGATCGTATGAGCTATGTGAGTTTTTCGTCTATTTGGTTTATGACGTATTTTGCGATTGTTGTTGACTTTTTCCTTTCTCTAGTTCCGTACCGAAGAATGGAGTCTGGAGACTGAGGATGGAACGGTGGTCCAATTGCTCGATAAAGATTTCGATCCCTTCCGGAAGAACTGAAGATTGGATGAGAGTGTACAGATACAGCAGTGCATTGGCTCGGGCGTTCGGGAAAATTATTTATGGGACCATTTGTTGCGGTATCAACTTGGCGAAGCCATTGACTTTTTTTTTTTTCTCAATGGCTTTAGAGAAACAAGGAAGAAGGATATCATTTTTTGTATCATATACAAACGCCGCTCAAGTCAAACAATATCGCGCGTATGGTGTAATAGTACATGGTCAGAACTAAGAAAAGAAATCTCCAATTAAGCAGTAGCTGATTCGGTAGCAGGTGCAGCCGACTCTGCCTGTGGCACTTCCGGCCATGGCTTCTTAATCGCATCCTGAATTCTCACAACACAGCCCTTTGGACCACTGACGGCACCTGAAGGAAAGAATGTAGGTTAGCAAAAGAGAGTTCGAAAGAAAAAGGGCTCAAAGCAGCTTGAGATCGAATCACATACCGCTGACAACGACAATACCATTCTCAGAATCCACTTTGAGAATCTTCAAGTTCTGAACGGTATTCTGCTTGTTTCCCATCTTTCCGGCCATCTTCTTTCCGGGGTAAACACGAGAACCACCACCCTGACCAGGACCAGAAGAACCCATTGAACGATGCGTCAAACTAACACCGTGACTGCGATCCTGACCGTGGAAACCGTGTCTCTTCATGACACCAGCAAATCCCTTACCCTTAGTATTGGAGCGAGCATCAACAAACTGGCCTTCCTGGAACCAGCCCGCCTCAATGCTCTGACCAACAGGGATTAGGCCCGCTTCGTCCTTAACACGGAACTCAAAGATATGGCGCTTAGGCGAGAGCCCATTGGCTGAGAAGTGTCCAAGCAGCGACTTGGTAACATTACTCGGGTGTTTCCAGCCAGCACCAACCTGCACAGCATAGTATCCATGTCTCTCGCGGGTCTTGTGGGAGATGACCTCAACACGATCCAGCTGAAGGACCGTGCAGGGGATGCGCTTTCCAGACTCCGGATCGTAGATAGCAGTCATTCCCTTCTTGATACCGATAGCGCCGGTGCGGAGCGGGAGGGAATTGGCTTTGCGGCGGAGAGCCGCTGTGGAAGTCGACTCGAGGACTGGTAGCCCGGGACCGATGTTGAAACGACTCGGTTTGGGCGGGTTGAGGGATCGGATTCCGAATGAGCGCACGGGGATCCGGGGCGTGATCAAAGGGGCACCCCACATGGGTGAGAACTGAAGTAGCCCTCCTAAGCGCGGCGACATGGTGGGTTTGATATTGGGAGGGGGATCGGGGTTCTCGTCGTAGCTGAGAACTCGGGAAGTTTTTGGTGTTGGGCTTAGTCAGCGCATCTGCCTCGAAGTATACACAAACTCAGAGCTGCCCATGTTCCAACGCGTTTGAGGGGATAGCCGAGACTGGGATCTTGTACAAACAATAGGGAAAAGGCAATCGACATCGTCTGAAAAGCTCATCCACTATATATCATTCCCTCATATACCAACAACAATAGAACCCGCATTAATCTCCAACACCGGCGTACACACGCCAATCCGATCGGACCGGAAGCCGAAAACGCCGAGGAACAAGGAAAAACACGAATTCCATGCCCACTCCAGACTCAACACCAATTCGCTCACTGAATCAAACAACCCCCCCTCAATCCAGAAATACAGGGGAAGATAATTCAACTTATAATGTCCCTGCGCCCAACCCTCCTCACCAAATGGATCTCGCGTCGTAGCGAGATCCTCAAACCCCCAAGCTTAGCCTCATACCTCCACCCCTCGACCCGACCATCACTCGCACGCCGCAGCGCAATCTTCTCCCCGGTAACACAAGCAACACAACGAAGTCTTACCACAACACGCTGCTTGACGCGAACCCGGCCGGGACCGAGCTCGTTCCAGTTCAAACAGCGCCGGTTCAATTCCAGGTCGGCTGATGGCGGTAAGGGATCTGGGACCGGGACTGGAGCTGGAGCTTCAGACAAGGCCTCGCTCTCACAGCGGCTGAAGAAGCTCTCACGGGAGTATGGATGGGCTGCGCTGGGAGTGTATCTTGGACTGTCGGCGCTAGATTTCCCATTTTGTTTTGCGGCCGTGCGGTTGCTTGGTGTTGAGCGCATTGGGTACTACGAGCATGCCGTTATTGGGTTTGTTAAGGATAAGCTCAAGACGCTGTGGCCGCAGACTAAGGGATCCGAGGCGGAGGATGGGCAGGGGCAACTTGCTCAGGCTGAGGAGCGGAATCAGGAAGAAGCTAGTAAGTTTTCGGTTTTGTAGAGTTTTGGGGATTGAAGTTCTAATTTGTGTCTTTCTTGCAGGTATCTGGACGCAATTGGTTTTCGCATATGCCATCCATAAGAGCTTTATATTTATTCGAGTGCCGTTGACAGCGGCGGTGACGCCAAAGGTTGTGAAGATACTGCGTGCATGGGGGTGGAACATTGGGAAGAGAAAGCCCAAGAGTTTATAAAGATGATGTGGTTTTGTAGCATAGCGGGAGATGCAGGACTTAGGATTCGGATCATTGTACATTACTAGCCGTTCAGCTGTCTAATACGGCAATCTTTTTTTCTTTTTTTTTCTTTTTTGCCTTCTCCTCTCAAACGTTCTCCAGCCGATCTACATGTAATCGACAGACAAACCCACACAAGCCCAGCTCCATCTCCAGCGTCCAAGATGAGATAAGACAGAAAGGATAGAAAGCAATAGAGAGAACGTCACACGCTGGGGACTGTCTCTGCTGTTTGAAATGACTGACCAGGAGCGAAACAGAGAACAAGAAACAAAAAGCAAATACGGTATGGCAATGGCTACCAAACCTCGTAATATTCGTTGTGAAAATTAAATTGCGACGTATGTAAAGGGTGTGCGTTCCAAAGAAAAGCGAGGGGGAATCGGATCACATGTCGATCATGTCGTTAAATCTCAGAATGCCGTTGGCTCTCATCACACCGTTGACGCCGTCGGGCATGCGGTATGCCCATTCAGCAACGCCCATGGTATCGGTGGCGGGTAGCTCTTCGAATCGATCCGACTGACTGACATCATCAGAGGTGTCAGCCACAAGCACAAGGCCGAGCTCCTTTATAGTTTCCACGAGTGCGGGAACAACATTCTACAATGTGGTCAGTAGGCAAACCAGAGAGGAAAAGAGAGAAAATGCGGATAGATGATCAAACATACCAAAAGACTCGATCTGCAGATCAGGCCCATAAAGTTGTTGCTCTGGGCAATGCGAGCAGACTCCTTGATCGACATCGAGGCCCGGCCACTGCTATTGACATGGAGCATCGAGTTAACGTTCCCAGCCAAGTCCCGAATTTGACCAAGATCATTGCAAAGTAGAACGGGATCTAGTCATACAAATCAGCACCACGCACGGGTTGAACTGTATTTCAAGGGGACTCACAGTTGGGTTGCTTCCAGTTGAGAGCACTGCAGATGTTCGGGTTATAGGAGGTGAATACGACGGAACGCATGAATTCTGGATTCTTATCACGGGCCACACGGGCGTGGTCGAAAACAACGGTCAAAATAACATCGGCAAAGCTGTTGACATCCGCCAAAGAAGTCATGTGGAGCTTTTTCTCCTCCGCGGGCGAGGGGTAGAGGAGGGAAATATTGACATTCAAGTCAATAGGAAGCTGGCGCAGAACATCGCCTAACGACAAGAAGGACGCCGCCAGGAGTCGATGCGTTTGCGGCATATCATCCGTCGCTTCTGTTTCCAAGAACTGGAGGATCTGGGGATGGTTGGCACCGCGGTCTGCCCCAATGGCCTGGAACTGGGCGTAGGTCAAATGAGACACTGGGATGTCGACTCCGTGGTGGTTGATCATAAATTGCGGGTAAAGAACTGCGACACGGTCCCGGGTCAGTTGTACAAAGAGCTGAACATAATCTCCCGACAAACTGGAGCCAGTCACCAGTCCATTGTGGTCAGAGTCAAGAGCACTAGTTGCCTTCCAATATGTAGCAAATTGCGTGATCTCCAGAGGATCGCCGTGGTATGGCTTGATCACTTGGAAGTTGAAGCGCAGTTGGCCGATTGTACGGAGCCGAGGGTCGAATAGAGGAAGACAGCCTGCGCCAGTGCTGGATGACTCGGCGCGGAAGATGTCTGGCAGGGCCACACTCTTTGCAATCACCTTTGAACCAAAGGTAGGGAAGATCTCAAAGTCCACAGCAAAAGTGTCCAAGTTATCCACGTGGAACGATATTGTGCGTGTCTCCTCCTGAATAGGTAGCATGATAGTACGAGGGATGAGATCTGACAATTTAGAAGAGATGGTCATGCGAGCAGCAGGATAGCGGCCCGCCTGGTCAAAGGCGATAGACCCGACATTCCCTTGATCGAACAGAAGCTGAATGAATACTTTCTTGTCCAGGAAGTTGTGACCATAGCGGCGGAGAGGGATGATAGGGGGAGGCAATTCAAGATCCGGGATACCATCAGCCATTTCCAATTCAGAAACGCTTGTGACCACGGACATCGGGTCGCCCATCCGGCCGGGTTCTTGCATCCGCACGCCATTTAGAATGTCAAGCGGCCCCAGTGCAGGCTTGCTACCGGTGGGTTGGGCCCAGAGGAGAAGCATGCACTCCAGGTGCCCCTCCCAGGCAGCATAGTACATTGCCGAGAGGCCCTTTTCATCTGGAACCTGAGCATCAACCCCGCACTCTAGGAGGGTGCGTAGGCATGGGACACAGCCTTCGCTGGCTGCGTGGAACAGTGGAGTCCACTGGTAAAGCTTGTCCTTCTGGTCGAGATCAGCACCGTGCTCCTTCAGGAGTAATAGTAACTCTGGCGATTGTGAGGCGCGTGCAACCATATGTTGGGGGTAGAGACCCTCTGCATCCGGCAGCAATTTCGCATTTCGCTCCAGAAGCATCTTAGCGATGGGGAGAGAGCCGTATTGACAGGCAAGGTTCAAAGGAATGTGATCCGGACCCCTCAGCGGACGATGGTCCATTCCCTTCAAAGCGGGCGACTCGGGCTCTGGGTCGACGCGGGCATTGCTACACAGAACCTGCTCGGCGCACGCCAGCTGACCCTTTACAATACTGTGGATTAGAGAGGTGAAGTTGTCATGGTCCATGATGTCGACGGTGTGGGGGCCAGCTGCGAGCAGATGTCGCACCATATCGACGCGGCCGTGCATGCACGCATAGTGGAGAGGGATTCGACCATAGACATCGGCGCGGGCGAAATCCACGGATGCCTGGAGGCCTGCATGGAAGACAAATGATCGGCCGGAGATGGCCGATTCGTGAAGGCAGTTTCGTTCATTGATGTCGTCCTCGGCGTGTATGTCAACCAGTTGGCTCTCCAATAGCAAAGCAAGCACATCATCCGAGAACCCGTTGATGGCAGTCAGGAATGTACGGGTGGCGCGTTCACGGGCGTCCGGCAACTGCTGCAACCTTACTAGCCATTCACGTAGGGTTTGCAGATTGCCGGTGGAGGCTGACTGCAAAATCTGGTTGTCCATTTCATCCTCTTCCGACCCCAAGGGTGCGGTGCGGTCCAATGGACGTGAGGCGTCATAATGAATGTTCTCGCCCTCGGCCCAGGCCTCCAATTCCAGCCGGGCGGTAGTGGCTCTATCCGCAAGGTCTCGAAGAACTTCACGATTGAAGCACGGTTGCACTTCAACGGCCCGATGCAGATACAGCTCTTTCATGCGAGACTTGGAGGTTTTATCCCATTTCTTAAGAATTTTGGACATGGCAGTCTCGTTGATCTCAACGAATTGCTGCAGTTTGTTCAAATCGCCATCGAATTGTTGGAAGCCTTCAAACATAGCAGCAAAATTCGATGGTGCTTTCGAATTTGAGACGGCTCGGGACTGAGTCACCCGCTTCTTGTCGACCAACGTCCTTAGGCGCAAAGAAAACTAGAGCAATCTAATGAGTCTCCGGATAGGGTTGTGACTGTGCACTGGATGAATGGCCATACCTCTGATTCCTTTTGAAGGTAGAAAGTATTCACCTTCTCAATCTCTCGTTCCTATACATCATGGTAAGTATATTCACTTTCCCATTTGCAGGGAATTATTCTGACAACCTACCAAGCGGAAGAAGAACACCTCCTTGTTTGCGCGCAAAGCGCCTTGAGGGTCCGCATTAGCTCTTGCAATTTCCTCGGCTGTTCTCTGCGCCGGGATAGTCGGGGTGGCGCTGAGTTGCTTGATCAGCTGTGAAGAAAATTAGCTATGCTCAGATTCCCTTGCGAGCGGCTGGAATGTTTAACCAACCTTCTTCAGCGCCTTGTAGTTAACAAAGCTGGCGGCATATTCGGGGAGATCTAGCTGCCTGCGCTGGATCTGTTTGCCGAACTTCCTATCGAGTCCAAGCATGTCAGTAACAGCTTGGGTGGTAGATCAGCCGGCAGCAGAAGCCGTAGGACATACGTACATATTTTCACACCCTCGGAGAGAGCTTTTGGCTCTCCCGAGCTCTGAAGACAGAGATCGCAACAGTAGCGCAAGCTCAGCGAAACAGAGCAGAGCGGAGAAGCAGGAGAACTATGGGCTAAATAGGTGAGGTAGGAATGGTATCAATGGAAGGAAGATGAAAAAAGAGACAGGGTGGGATGACAAGGACACGTCTGAGACCTCGGGACCAAAGTTGTTACTAGGCTTCCGGGGGCAAGAGGGGTTAATGCACTATCCCAGTGGGGAAGAATAATAGTGGGACAGGTAGGGTGACGGAGTGGCACGAGTAGATAAAAATATGTGACGTTGCGTTGAGATGGTTTCCCATCTATCAGATCAAGGGCGGATTAGATGCTAAGAATTGAGAGCAGAGAGGGTCAAGAGGGTAGAAGCGGTGATAGAGATAGAGGCGATAGAGATAGCGGGGCAAAAACTCGAGGGACACATGTGGACGTGTACAGGGACCAGGTACAGATCGAATGATTAAGAGAGTCCTATACTCCGTAGTTCGAATCCAACAGAGAAGGGAAAAGCCGCGAGGTGCAATTAAGCAGGAGAGTGGGGAGCTGTGTGAATCATTCGTCGCCAATCACCGCGAATAGCGGGCGCACGTTGTTAACTTACTGGTACCTGGGTAGCCACTGCAACGATGTACCGAGACCTTGTATTCTATGAGTTTGTTTTTATTCTCTTTAGTCGGAGTTGTACGGAGTACGGAGTACAACAATTAGTATTATGTTGTCTGATGTCTGTTTTGAGCCCAAGCATATTATTCACTGGAGTCCTTTCTAAGGCTAAAGGCTAATGCTTCCACCATTCTGCCGACCTTCTCCGCGGAACTACATCTCCCAGACGAAATGCATTCAAGGTAAAGCTTTCATTTCAATGTGCCAAATACAAAGACTTCAACAGGGGAACTGGGAGTAAATCCTAGATACCCGAGGTATCATTGCAAATCTCGAGTATGTCCAGGCGCATGGAAAACTCCACACTCAACAGGAAATGTACAAGATGCAGCTCCTTGCAGTTCCATGTACCAAGACACGAACAACCAAAACAATCAACAACATGAACCAGATGTGCAAAAAAAAACCGATGAAACAAAAGCTATGCAGCTGAGATCAGATGCGCGGGATATATCAAACAGAGTGACCAAACCAAATCAAGGCCGGACAGGCCGATTAAGAGGGTAAAGAGAGAGGGAGACAGAAGAAGAGAATAAAGGTCTAGAGGACAATAGAGACATGAAGTGAAGTTCCATCGCGCCGGGAATTGGAACATGAGAGACCCGAAAAAACGAATGAAGTCGGCGGTGGTCGAGATATGTAGAGAGAGCGTGTGGTATTGTGCAGAACGAAAAAAAAACAATAACAATAACAGTAACAAGATTGGAATGCCGAGCTTTTGGAGTTCAAAAAATTATTGGAGGAAATCCGTATCAGTGGGGCTGTCAGAAGTTCTGCGCAATACCGGCATTACCCTGTCGCGGATACACACCAGGGTTCTCAATGCGGGTATTACGGCGCGCCTGGACATCGCGGATGACAGGCTGATAGTCCTCGCCGCCGTATGCGCCATGCGTGTTGATGTCGCCGTAGTATGGGTTCTCACCATAGTAGCCAGCCGAGGGGTGGACAGCGGACATGTGGCTTTCCTCCGATGCATCAGAACGGTTGGCTGCGGAGTAGGCGGAGGATGCATTGGAGGGGCCGCGGTGGATGTCACCGTTGCGGTTGTTCGCAGCCACTGGGGCGCCACCTAGCACACCAATGGGTTCAACAATCTCGCCAGAGTCGGGGCGGGTGCCATCGGAATATTGAACGGTGCCTTCGCTGGGTGTTGCGCCGTGGTGATAACCGGGGCTGCTTCCTTCCGACATGGCCAGGCCACCCATTCCGCCGGAGAGGTTGGTAGACGCCTTGCGCCCGGCAGAGGTGGTTCCCCAGCCGCGGTAGCCGGAGGATTCATTGTCCTTGGGGACCACAACGCCTCCGATGCCAGGAAGAGTTGGGTCGTTGTTTGGGTTAAATCCGTACTCCTCCACTTCCTTGCGGCGCTCCTCCTCAGCCGCCTTATTGGCCTTGCGCTTACGCCAGAAGAAGAGAAGTGCCAAAATGATCAATGCTACTGAGACAACCGGTACAACGACTGCCACGGCGATTGTGCCGCTGGGAGAAAGACCGCCGGAGCTCGCTGCTGAAGTGGAGGTTGAGAGTGCGGCCGAATCGATTGTGCTAGAAGAGGCGGTAGACGTGGCACCAGGGTTGGCCGCTGTTAGGGTGGACGTGATAACAACTACGGTAGTTCCCTGTGTCGATGTAAAAGTTGTCTCCTCGGCACTTGAGGTGCTGGACGGGGCGGTTGTAGTGGAGGTGGTGGAAGAAGCGGAAGAAGCGGAAGAAGCGGAAGAAGTGGAAGAAGTGGAAGAAGCGGAAGAAGTGGAAGAAGTGGAAGAAGTGGAAGAAGTGGAAGTAGTGGAAGAAGTGGAAGAAGTGGACGACGTAGACGATGTGGACAACGTGGAAGAAGTGGACGACGTAGAAGGAGTGGACGACGTGGAAGTGGACGAAGTAGACGTAGGCTCGAGGGCCGACGTGGTAGGCTCAGTCGTGGGCGCGCTACTAGTACTAGTACTGCTCGTAGTGGTACTGGTGGTAGCCGGTTCACTTGAAGTGGTGGTGGGAGCAGCCGTTGACGAAGAAGTTGTTGAGATTGAAGAGGTGGTAGGTTGGGTGGTAGATATTTCACTGGTGGTCTCGGCAGCCGCCGAAGTCTGTGCAACAGTTTCTGCAGCGCTAGAAGCGATAGATGCAGCGGCGGCAGCAGCGCCTTTCGATGGTGAGGCCATCTTCAACAACACTATTGGCCAATGTTGGTCGGGGTCGTTCTGGAAGCGGTGATCTTTAGTGAGATTGACTGTTGTTGGGATCGAAGTAATACTGAGACGGGAGACCGTTCGGCGAGTTTTGAGAGATTGAGAACACTTCCGGGTGCGGGAATGTTTTCGGGCTAAATGAGACTGGAGGTCACAATTTCGAATCCGAGTTAATAGGTTGATTTAACGAGAGACTGCGATCTGAAAGCGTAAGGAGAGATGGGGGTTGTGTTTATGGTAGGAATCTCAGGGGAAAATCGGCGATTTCTCAGGAACCGATCGGAATTGGAAAAAAACGAAGGAAAAAAGGAAGAGGATGATGAAGGATGGAAAATAGAGAACGAATACTCACAATCTCTCGAAGCCGAATCTAGCAGCCATGGGAGAAAGAAGTGTGTGGGAGAGTGAGATGGAAGTGGAAGAGTGGAGATTTCTTACGATTGCGGCGTATCCGCATTCCTAGTGGTATTCATAGTGACTTCGATTTTACTGATGTTTTTGCTTATAATTGACTTGGAAGTCGTCAAAGACATGGATCTAATTTGTACTACGGACGGTTTGAGTTACAGTTGCATCCCCTACAACAAACATGATGCTGTTTTTGGTAATCCCTTGATCCGGCCATGTGAACCAGGAGGCTATAGATGCTATTGCTCTCTGTTCCTCTCCAGTTGAGTAATATTACTCTGTAACACTCTTTCTAATACTCCCTCCAAGGCCTGATAACAGAATTGTTTCTCCGAGTTTCGTTCCAATATTTGTGACCGAGTACCATATATTTCCAATACTATTCGGTACCAAAAAAAAAAATGAGAGAACCAAGTTGAGAGTACCCGTGGGTGTTGGAAGTGGGAAGCGAGGCTGAATTCCAAGGTTCTGTCCGGAGTATTCCACTTCCAAGGATAGTACTTCGTACTCCGTTTGAAAATCAATGATGCAGAGGATTCGGATTCGGATTCCCCACTTCTTCGACGGTTTAGTCTTTGACAATACTGTACGAAATACGGAGTACGGACTTGCAGACTGCTGATGTTTGAAAAAAAAAAAAAAAAACGATCGGCGCGGATAATCTTGTTTTCTGCGGCTAGCCCAGCATAGTATCTTTTTTTTAATATCAAAAATATTATGATCTCTCTCATCTAGCCCCTGACTTGGCTTAGCGCTCGGTCCGATTTCTACGCCGCCAACTTCCAACTTCCCGTCGTATTTAACCGGACGCCAAATTGTGGGGTGTCGAGTACAAGGATTTCTCCAAGTACGGAATACACGAAACAGATTCATGGTATCCTTCAAATCTTGAGAGATTTATGTGAATCCAGAACTACGGAGAATAGAGATCCAATGTATACAGCCCAGAGACCGAGCAGAAGAAATGAAATTTCAATATGATCACGTGGAAGAATCCAACCATCATCTATTTACGCCATGGATAGCAGGTTCCCAGAGAGAGAGAGAAAAAAAAAGGGGACAGAGTAATGAAGAAATAAAAAGGGAGGATAACCATCACCCTCAAAAAGCTCAAGCACCGGAGGGCCCAACTGGGAAACCCAAAAATCAAAATCATCACGCGATCTTATATATGGTACAAACCACATAGTCATGCCGTTGGATAGCGAGAAGCTCGTTCCCTTATCCGTTGTTCATACCCCACTTCGGACGCAGACTGGCCATCATGTCGTCCTTGGTACCGACCGCTTCAGCTGGGAGACGACTGACACGGTAATTGCCCATGCGGATATTATTTTGGTGGTTGGCAGAGACGGCAGTCCGGCCACTGCGGATACTACCCGCATCGCTGCCGACACCACCTTCGTTCTTGAACCGTGGCGGGGGCACAAAGTCCAGGTTGTTGAACGTGCCAGACTTGCGCAGGGCGTGGGCACTGGGCATCACGGCGAGCTCATCAAAGGCAGAGGCCAATGGCGTGTGGACACGCGCGCCAGGGATGTACGGGCGCACACCACCGGTGGGTGTCCCAGGGCGACCGGCGCGGCGGTCCTTGATTCCATTTCCCGGGGCAAATTCCATGGCGCTCATGAGAGAGTCATCCGTCAACATGTGAGGAGTAGGAAGGATTTGCAGCGGCGGGGGGCGGGGGATGGGCTTCTTGGGACCGCGTGGACCAGGCATATGGCCGGAGGCAGGTGAGAAGGCGCGTGCGCCGGGAAGACCATTGTTGCCAGCAGAGTTGGTGGCCATGTGGCGAGCGGCTCCCTGGAAGCGTGGAGGTGCGCGAGGCGGCGGTGTCATTGCGCGACGAGTTATCGGCTCAGCGAATGGAGCAACACCATGACGTGCATCAAAATAGTCGCCGGTGGTTGGGTCGTAGATGAAACCAGCCGAATTACGACCACCCTCACGGGACTCAGGGCCGAAGTCCTCGTGGTATGTGGGCTCCTGGCTGCCCGTTTTGTTCTCATCGAAGTACTCCTTGTAGAAGGAGCGAATCCGATTGGCACGCTGTTCTGGGTTGTCGCTGGGGTCCTCTGGCGGCAAAGGGCGCAACCCGAGAGTCATCCGGCGGGTATCGCGGCGGTTGTCATATGCCGCATCCAGATTCTTAGATTCCTCTCGGAGTGCTGGGTGCTTGTTATCGTGGGCTGGAGCATCACGTTGCTGTGCACCTTCTGTGCCATAAATGTTGACCGCAGGCAGAATTTGCTGCGACTTGCGGTCATCGCCATAGTCACTAGTAGTAACAATGCTGACCGGCAGGGAGATACGAGGAAGTTGTGATGCAGGAGCCTGGTCAAGGTTCGAGTCTCGTGGTTGCGAAGGCTCAGGCAGCGGGAAGTTGGGGCGCTCTTCATGCTGGTTGTTATGTGTGTTGTCGTCTGTATCGTCCAATCTGAAGTTTAGGCCCGAAGAGGAGTCCACGTGGGGCAGAGGCTCTGGCGAGGGAATCCGGTTGGTATTGGGACTTCCAATAGCCATGCCGGGTTGGTGTACGGCAGGTGGATGTGTCACTTCGGGAACTTGCCCAATGTAGTCATCGTGTTGGTTCAGAGGGCTGCGTGCACGAGGTTCGATAGGAGAGCATAGCGGCGGGGATGAACGAGGAATCCTCTGTGCATTCTGTAGAAGACCTGAATTGCCATCATCCGTACCTCCATATTTGGAATTCCTGGAGTTCGACCGAATGGAGGCAGTGGCAGGACGGTACTTGCCATCATCTATTGACATGGAGCGCAGAGAGTCGGTGGAATGTTGCAGGCCCGGAGGCAGTAGGTATGGTCCGACATCAAGAGACAATCCTTTGGTATGGTTGTGTTCTGACATCGGGGGCATTCCCTTGGCGCCTTTTCTCCTAGTTGCAGGCCCCACTGTATCCAGTCCAAAATCAAGAGACTTGTGTTTATCCATAGCATCTTCCCGCACAAGTTTCTTGACTTGTCTCCGGTGAAGCACAACGAGGATGATTAATGCACAAAAAATGGGAATTCCTGCACCGAACACGATGGGAAAGACGGTCGTTGCCAGATTGCTGGTGGCCTTGGGTCCCGAGGTCGGCTCAGATTCGGATCTTGCCACAAGGGTTGGAAGCTGTGTGGCTACAGAGAGACTGGGCACAAAGATCGGCACTCGATTCGCAGGGATGACATCCCGACGAACGTGGTTTCGCATCACCAAGCCGGCATGGTGAGCATGAGACATCGTCGATATAATCTGGTCTATAGGGATAGACCCGACTCTTCTTTAACGTGAAGACCGGTCAACACGTTTTAAAACAGCGATAGCCGCTCGATTTTAATGCTCGTCATTTAAAATTCGGGTCACACAGTTCAGAAATCACCAAGATCCGGGGGGAGGGAGGGTGGAAGAGTATAGCACGCGATGTCAAAGCAATTTAAATGAGTGTATAGGACTAGGTCCTCAAAAAGAGCGACGGCCAGCAAAAGAGAACGAATGCGGGTTAAAGAGAGGGAAGAAAAAGAGGAGAAGAGGAGAAGAGTGAGTTCTAGAATAGTGGACTAGCGCCATTACTATACGGAGACTTTTGTAGTACGATACAGGTACTTCATTCTCCGCATCTCACCCCTGAGTCTTAATATAGAACATCTGAACACTGATTTCTATCTCGTAATTTTAATATTGTCTTAGGTCCAAAGATTGTTTATTATGATCTGTTGATCTTCTCTTTTAATCTATTTGTTGACACTCGAATCAGAGATAACTGCACCAAGCAAGGTGAGGGTAAGACAGAAGGACCACTGTGTCAGGAACCTGCTTTCTTTCCAGCCAATCATTGAACGGCTGCCCCTGAGATTGGAAGTGAGTACTCCGTACACGGTGGCTGTATCTTATTCGCACCAACCGTTCAACTGGTGTATGTTGTATTCGGTATCTCCCCACGTAAGGGCACAAGGGGGTTTTCTCTCTTTGTTTTTCTCCTATGCCAAGCCCTGACACTTCACATTGATGCTTAATCTTAAGATAACAAACAGGATTAAATACCATACATTTGGGTCTAGCGTCATTGCATCAGAAAGATACTAATCGTTTCAATTTGTTGAGCAAGGTAAATTTGAGGCAAAGATTGACGATTCCTTCAACATGAGACACCGGTGTGGTCCCCGCTCATTTCCAAGTACTACATCTTGCTGCATCCTACGGGGCATATTTTAAGGCTGCCAGCCTCTATATATTCGATGTGGTTTCTTGTGATCCTCTACTAAATCTCTTCTATGTTGGATAGTTTCTCACGGGTTTATTGGATTTTGGGGGGTTTCTGCTCTTTGAGCTGGATTGTTCCGTCAACTATTCTCAAGGGAAACCTCTTGTTGTAGTTAGATACATGCCCACGTAGGCATAAGAACTAATTTATAACGCCATTGATAATCGATAACCCAAACTATACCTAGTTGAGCGCAAACTATTCAAATCCTCGTGAAAGATGTGGAGTACAATGTCTTGCCATTTCTTAAATGACGCCCTACCGAGGACTTGGACGGCCACAAAACGCCCCTATTGAACAATGAGATGATTGTGCGAACGACTCAAAAAATCCGATTTAGTTCAATGTCAGTACCTAGAGATACATCAGGCCCAACAGTGAAGCAAAACATGTCTTAAATCACAATTTCGGGGTTGTAAATCCACTTTTTTTTTAAAAAAAAAAAAAAAATTAACTTAAGCCGATGACACTTCAGGGAAAAAATCAAGTACCTAATATACTGAAAGTTGAGTAAATGAAGAGGTTGCATTTGGATTGTGGGAAGTTCAACTGTTCTAGGAAGCAAAACCCGAGGACGCGAGGATAGACTTCCCGAACCAATTTGAAAGCAGTTGGGCTTACTAGGAAATCCATAGCACGCAGGAAATTTGCCAGGGTGAGACGCAACTCCTCAATGATATCTTGTGCTCATCGGCCGGCGCGAGTTTTCCCCTCTTCTGAACAAAAAGGGCATAGTGATTCATTCAAGCTTGGAGTAGAGCAGATACTGATCGTCTTCTATACTTCGATGGGCTGGAACGTTGCTTGGCAGTACAGCAGCACACTTGGAAATATTTATGGAAACACGCTAGCCATCTTGTTTTACTACTACGTACTACATGTACTATTGTTTACATCATTGACGAACGTCAGGGTTGTATCCCCTACAATCTGGATCATGGAAAGATTGCAAGTTGGGTTCATATCTGTATTACACATGTGGACTTAGACACAGGATGGCAAGTTCATAGAATTGCCCGCTAGGGCTTGTCCCCGGGTTACTCATCACATCTGGGGTTCATTACCTTTCATATTGCCTGGTATGGGGGGGTCTTGGTTTGAAAAAATCATCAGAGAACAAACAGGTCATCCTCCTTGGAAGGGGTCTTCCGTAATAAGTACAGCATAATTAGGAAATGTGGGCTGCGCAGGTATGAAACGTGGGCGAAAGGGATGGGAAGATGACACAAGAGAAGTGGAAGGTCATAAGCCCCATGGGCAATCGTATGTGTGGAATGCACACCATAAAAGGAGGGAAAGGGAAAATTCGTAGTGCTGGCCATGTACATTGGGGGCAGGGTTGTACATGCGAATAAAAAAGGGTAATGGCATTCTGGGCCAGATCGCCCTGGGAAAGAAGTAGACGGAATTCTCCGAGATCGTGCAGTGAGTAAACGTTAGGTAAGGATGAAGAAGATGGTCATGCAAATAATCTTTAGGTGTTTTTCGGTTCATCTCATGGGTTGTTGTTGGCGGATGGAAGATAATGAGAGGGAGTGAGTGTTGAGATGTGTCGACGAAAAGAAAGAAAAAGGTAGTTATGATATGTCAGCCAGCGCTGCCTCAAAACTGGCAATATCATCGTGAGATGGTTTGTCGAAAATGCGCCGAAATGGCGGATCTTGGGGGAAGTCTGGCGGACTGGTTGCTACCCCGTCTGCCTTGCGAATAACTTCTTTCAACGCGCGTGTTACCACACCCGCACGAACCACCAGACTTTTCAACGAGGAAGTATCAAATGGAAGTTTTTTGGCACGTGGCAAAATTTCAAACTCAAGAGAAGCAGGCTTTTGTTGGTCACGGCCGGCCTGCAGGATGTCCAGTACGGATTTGGACTTTGGTGAGTTCCGTGCAAGGTGGGCGAGGGGCGACGTGGGCTCAGCGTCTTCACCATGGGCTACATCCCATGAAACTTCACTGTTGCGCTTCGAAGACGTCTCAGGACCGTCATCGTCGGATTCATCAAAACTGAAAGTGAGCGATTGTGGAGATCCGGGTGGCGAGTGACGCTCCTCTTCATCGTCAATGGTAGCAAGGTTCACAATCTGCTCTGCTTCTACCCACAGTTCACTGGACGGTCCGTTGACAACACCTAAGACATTTGCTTGATGCCGAAGACGTTTCAATTCCTCCACCAGCAGGGTCAATTCTTGGACTTGTCCAAACTGACCACGAAGACTTGCTTGACGCTCCAGAATGGCTTTTGGAACAGTCATGCTCTGGCGATTGATGTCAGGCCCAGTAAGTGATCTGTTTTCAGCGATAGATGTGTCCTCCGACTCGTCAAAGTCAAAATCACTATCCCAATCTTCACTGACACCCTTACTGCCCAAGCCCCAAGTACCGAACTTGCCGGAAGTTTGACGCAATTCGTTAATGGGAAGTTCACTGGCGACTGGGACACTCTGGCTCCTTAGGTGGACGGTGGATGGTGCTTTCCGGCAAGCAGCCCGACTGTTTCTGTCAATAACGCCCTCATGTTTCCCATGCATGGTCCGAGGCCGCGTCTCCAAGTCCGAAGTTTCACGGTTAGGGTGTGCTTGTTCGGACCAGTCAAAGATATTCGTCTTTGTGTTGATATTTGAAACCAACTCGCCCACAAACGATCCTGATGTATCCTTTGCTGCGCCAACATATGACTCGGAATTGTCGGAAAACTTGGCGAATGAATTGGTCAAAGAAGATGAAAAGCAATCACGATCATCGCCAGAAAGCGCCCCGATCATTCTGAGAGCATCATCTTCAGACACATACGGATTTTGAATCATGGATGTTTGAACCAAAGCGGGGGAAGACAAAGGCGGATCCGTGAATAATTGGGGATCCTTGTCCAAAGACCTAGCAGCGAACGAACCCCGAGGGAGGAGAGACTCCAGGGTCGTGGCTTCTTCATCCATCAGGCTCGCACCTGCTTTGTCGAACATCGTTTCAATCCGCAGCCCCTTCAGTCCGCTGCGATTGGTCTCACGTGTACGGACGGAGTCCCAATAGTCCGATACCCCGTCCGTCTCATATTCATCGCACGATGTAAACACTCGCGTGTCATCGGAACCTATGACGGTGGAAGCAGGATCGGATCCTGAAATCGAAAATCCCTTGGGACGGCGACGAAGAAAACCATAAGCTTGACCACCCGGACGAGATGCCTGCTGCCAGGCCGATAGCGCGACTGCATCCGAAGCCATTTGACGTGAACCGGCTCGAAGTCCCAAGCCAACGTTATAGTCCTGAGATACCGATCGGGGACCAACTTGAGAGTGTCTTTCCAAAGCCGAGTCAGCCCAACCAGGTTGAAAAATGGGATACGGAGCGCGGAACACGCTGGGATCAGTTATGTTGCGCCGCGGCTGTGGCTCCGGGGCACTTGGAGTAGCGACCATCGTTCCTTCGCTTGACAGTTCGGAAGGAGGGACTGAGAAAGTCCTCCCCTTCACCCGCTTCAGAGAGCCACCGCGAACGAGTCCCACAATCGGTGTCCCATGCGCGGTGACTGTATTTGCCAGGACGATTTTCGGCTCATCGTCGTTGACCGAGGATGGCAGTTCAACGTCGGATTCCTCTGCTTGCTGTTCCAGAGCGACTGGATGATTGGGAGCAGCCTCATAGAGGGCCATTTGGAAAGGGTTCCGGAATTCAATTGGTGTGTGAGGCACTGATCTGTCTTCTCCGAGCGCAGCAGTCGTAGTTGAGATTACATTAGCCATAATCAACGCAGGAAGAGCTCCATGGTCAGACACAACCTGTCGTGCGCTCTGAACTTTTGGGGCAGTGGCAGTGGAAAATCTGCGCGTGAGTCTCTCTGTCAATTTGCCAACCTTGGGAACGAAGAATCGCGTCCAGTGCGTTTGCTTGTGGAGCTCGAATTCCTCGATTGTTGGGCTTTCAATGTGAGTTTTCGGAAAGCATGCATCAAAACTAGGTGTCAAGGGAGTCCGGAGGATCATTGACTCCGATCTCTGGTGACTAGTGACGAGCCTTCCCAGCTCGGAAGGCGACGCCCCACAGATGGGGTTCAGCGTGTGAGTTTGCGGAGCTAGCATTTGCCGGGAGGTCGGGCGCTTGATCAATCTGTTCGGTCTTCGCTGACCGGGCGAACGAGGGAGGATTGGACTTTCTGTCCCATGGAACGAGGGTGTCGTTGGACTACTTGCAGTCGGGCTTTCGGCTTGGAACGAGGCCATGGACAGCCGCCGCAGCCAACCGGTGGATGTCTGCCGGGCATGCGTTTCGACTGACGAGTCTGTTGACCCATGTTCCGGAATTCGGAGAGGTGGATCCGTGATGGTTTGACCCCGACGGCGGCGTCTGCCACCGCTGAACGACAAGGTCGCTTTTCGCAGATCAAATCCTTGGTTTCCCCGAGCGCTTTCCTCTTCCTTTGCGGCAAGCCACTCGGCGGCCGGACTTCGAGATGTGAGAGCGGTTTTGGGCCGGGCAAAATCTCCGGTCTGTTCAGTGTTGGTAGAGCGTGACACGAGGATGTCTTGAGCGAGATTCTTGCGCCGAAAGAGGCCAGGTCTTTGAGTTCGTTCTGCGCGACCGAGCGCAAGGCCGGCAGGAGCTATTCCGACAGTGCTTAAAGCACAGAGCTAGAAGCGCTGGTTAGTAACAATTCTGAAGTGACGAGACCGCCGCGGTGCAAGCAATTCTGGGTCTCGTTGTGCAATTTGATTCAGATGGGCTTACAGTTGATATGTGATCCATCCTCAGAGGACGCTGCGAAGGATGTTAAACACCTCGACGATCAGCTCCAGGTTGACAAGCTTCGTGAATGACATTCCAGATAGGTGCAAAGTACGAAGGAGTACCGAGAAAAGCGATGAGAGGGGAAATGGAAGTTCGAATAGCGAACTCCGGAGGTCGGTGTGAGAGAGAAGTGCGATGCCTCCACTAGGCCGCGATTGACGTTCCAACCAAAGCAAAAGAAAACTGAAAGAGAGAAAGAAACAATGAGCGACGCCGAGCAAAGCCAGTCCGAGAGAAATAAATCTCTACCCCCTGGGAGGCCGAGTCAAGAAGGAGAGCACCAGATGAAGTGGATGTGACCCGGGGAAATCAACAACAACACACGGGGATTATCAGCTCCCGCCCTGCGCACGCTAGGAGCAACTTCAATAACTTCCCTCCTTCAACCCTTTTTTCTGGATTTATTTAGTTTTTGGTGAATTATCAAGTATATCAATGTACTGGAAAAGTTGGCATTCACTCAAAAGGTTCCAAAAAAACTGATGGGCAAAAGCTAGGAAGTTATGCCGTGATCACAACAAATCAGTTCATAAGCTTTTGCATGACACTTTGAGAGAAATACCCCGACTTGCACCTCTACGACAGGGCAGCACGAAATGATACTAGCTTTGGTGCACGATCCTGCGGGTGTTGTTGCAAATGCAGAATGCAGGCGAGAAGAGGATTAGGCGCTTCAGTTGTCGGACATCCCTTGCGGCTCACATTTGCATTGGCATCATAATCCAGATCGTGTCAAGCAACCGGAGAAGTCCATTTCTGAGTGGTCGAAGGGCCTACAGAGCAGGGAAATGGAGAAGCCAACAGGCCCCCAAAAAGCCATGCGATCCAGAATTCCCCACAAATCTGGGTTTGGCTGGCTGAGATCGTGTCTTCGGCCCCCTAGCCTGACCAGGATCGTTAGTCGCAAGATCCCCCTTAGGTCGATCGGTGTCCACTGGTTTCCTTTGAATGAACTGCCCGCGGGCTCTGGTCTCCGATGATGAACCATGGTGCAGTGACATTGACAAAAGATTGCAATTGGGCCTCATTGGGGTCTATATCCACTATCAAACTAGTTAAGCTGTCACCCCGAATGGACATGGAGTATAACAGAGTTTTTTTTTTAAAAAAAAATGTGTCCAGATCCACTTTCAACTAACTTTGACTTCGCTTCTAGAATGGAAAATCATCCTATGAAGAGTTGACTGGTCAAAAAGAAGCGGTGCGAGGAGGCTCGATGTAAGGGCTCTAGCAGCAAGCACTCTGTACGTTTAAATGTTCGATTGCATAACGTGATTCAATCTGAAGCTACCCCGTACTTCACACAGAGTGCGATAGTAGCTTTCGGTAGTTGACATTTTCGATTTTGCGTGAATAAAACCCACGGTACGGATTAGTCCCTGCCATGGATGGTTGTCTGGTTGACATCGTCATATACAACTCCACTATCTCCCATTTTTTAAATGAGAAGGGAAACTCTTGTGGGTCATGGGTCACAATTACCAACTCCGAATTCCTGCTTCTAGCTTTTGCTGGCAGTTAACGATGACTTGTCAAATGGAAGAAGCACCTCGGTATTCAAACTCGTTTATTTCGAATTGTTAAGAAAAAGCCAGCTTAGGTCCCTACATAAGACTCCGGGGTTGTAGCGATCGGTAGATCCAACTAGTCAGTTTGGAGAGTCAGTATATGTTGTAGGGAACTTCTTGATTGTAGGTCTATGTTGTACATGTCCCGTTCATACAGAGGCAGCCATCAACCAATTCTCTTTGGTGTCATTCTGCCATCACCCGTTGGATGCTGCAGTGACCTGCAGACCGGACTCAGATATTACCTGCACTGTTTGATTACCTTCATCTATTCTGGTCCAATGGCCATTTCTTGATTTCTTGGCTATGCAAAACAAGATCATCTACGGAGTAAACAAAGATAAAATATGACTTTGTCCCTGGAAATCTCTTTTCAGTCTCGGCCGATTCCGCCCGTGCTTTGTAATTTCCGGCTCTTTGTGATGAACGTGGAAATTGCATTTTGAGCAGCTTCCAGCTTTCATCCTTGTTCAACTTCTTTTGGCAGTTCACAATTAACCGGTACTTTTGTGCACGCTCTTCAGATTTCATGGGTACTACCTACTGGCCAGATGCAACTTCTCCGAACTTGAAACTGCCTATGAAACACCCTACAGTCTGCGAAACCCGTCTAATTTAGGTAACTTGGACAGAGTCCTGTCATCAATGCAGAGGATGTCTACTTGTCAGGTCACATCTTTCACTTAACCGTTCACTCTGTCAGTCTATCTCGCTACTAGCTGCACGGTGTAGCCGAACAATCTCTGGATAAGGCGATCAGATCTGGGTGCATATGCTGATCACTGCAAAACCTCGTATTGCTTATCAACCGATGACCGCAGAGAAGGCCTGAGCTGAGGTTGACTACTATGCTACGTCTACTCTGTACTTTGTCTGCCACCTATGGACTTCCCAGGCATTGGGCCTGTGTGACACTCGGGTGATCGGATGCTTGTTTCCCGCGGGCAAGTATATCACAAAAGCCAACGTGTGATTCAAAACTTGACTATCTGCGCCTAGTAAACTAGTAGCATGGGATCCTACCGAAGCGTGGTTAATTCACCTCGGCAATCATCTCTCTTTCACATGGGCTCCAGTTCCTTTTTTTTTTCAGTATTTGAATAGATCCCCCGGAATTCTTTTAAGCATTTTATGGCCATCGTTTTTGTCGTGTTCCATATGGAGTGCGTAGGAGGGACTTTGTAGGGGATTCGTGAAAATCTAGAACTAGATAGATAAATTTCCTCACAAAAATGCCGGCTCAAACAGGACCGTTTGAACACATGTTAATACTGATTAAGTCAGGTATCGATGACCACACCAGGAGCATGGTGTGTTAATTCCACACCCACTCGCCGATGTAAGATGGCTCGTCTTCCACATCTTCATGCGGAGATTGGCGATAAACCGACAACCAGCTTCCTTCAATTTGGTGGTATAAACTGTAGTTGTCAACTAACCCGCAACGTAAGATGAGTGGTACTTTAAAGCAAAACAAAAGTCTTGTTTTGGTGTTGAAATTATAGAAGTCGATTGTATTTTGCTGCAGTAGCTGCAAATGCATGGGACAGAACAGCCGCCTAGCCACCTCTTGTTTCTTTGGGTACTCTCAACAGCATAGGAATTTTTTTTATAACGAATAATTCCATTACTGTTACAATATCCCCAAAGACGGCATTCCCAACATTGAAGCTTTGCCCCGAAAGCGGCAAACGGGTGTGTCATGTGATCTTATCGATAACACATCCAAAAATCCGCCACTATTCACAATGGGGACATCAATTGCAGAACTCCACAAACTCTTGACGCCGAAGCTTCCTGAATCTCGGCGTGACACACGTCCTTCTGAGTCTGGCAAGATGGAGTCTGAGCTCCAATCCCAGATCCCTGGCCTCGACCAGATCATCACCGAATACTCAGTGGTACGTCTCTCCGCACATGTGCGCGGTGGAGGATTAGATTATGAGTCCTCCGAAGCTGATGATTCTACAGGGCTACCTGACCCATGCTGCAAACCTATACGTCGACGATGCCAGTGGCGAGTCCCCCCTGTCAGAGGCCGCCGAATCTGTGACCGAGCTCCTAGTCTCCGCTTCTGGAGATTTCTCCCCGCAAAACTACGAAGCGATCGGCAACTTGGTTACGAGGTTCATCACCACGCTGAGCTCATCCGATGGCGATCCGGAACGGAGGCAAATGCCTTTCAAGGCCAAGAAGCTTGAACAGACCATCAATGTCGGCGCACAGCGGAACATGTCCTCGACACTGGGTCTCACTGGAAACACTGTCGACTTGGAATCTGCCAACACCAGAAAGATGGAGTCCAAGGTGGACAAGAAGAAGCTTGAGAAGGCTGAGCGCAAGATTCGCGCCAAGCAGGACAAGAAATCTATGAAGAACGTTACCTACGAGGCATCTCGTCTGCTCAACCAGCCAGATGAGGCCATGTCCTACGAGGAGTTCTTCATGGCTGTCAACCCTCTTCAATTGGGCTCGGAATCCCAGGCCAAGAGTAAGGACATCAAGTTGGATAACATCGATATCTCGATTAGTGGCCTACGCATTCTTACAGATGCTGCTTTCACACTCGCGTATGGTCGTCGTTACGGTCTGGTTGGTCAGAACGGTATTGGTAAATCTACACTTTTGCGTGCTTTGAGTCGCAGAGAAATTCCGATTCCGACTCACGTTTCAATTCTTCACGTTGAGCAAGAGGTATGCTCGAATCCTAGATCGGTTGCTTTTCCCTCACTGACTTTCAACGGTAGATTACTGGTGATGATACACCAGCTTTGCAAGCAGTGTTGGATGCCGATGTGTGGCGGAAACATCTTCTCTCGGAGCAAGCGGTTAGTTACATCGCAAGAGGCCACAGTAGCATGTTCACTAACTACCATAACTACCATAGAAAATCTCGAAACAACTGGCAGCCATCGAAGAAGAAAGGTCTTCATTGGCGGATACTTCGAAGGATGCTGCTAGACTCGACGAAGAGCGTGAGGGCCTGGATATCACATTGAGTGATATTCACGGAAAGCTTTCAGAAATGGAGTCTGACAAGGCTGAATCCCGCGCGGCCAGCATCTTGGCTGGTCTTGGTTTCTCCCAAGAGCGCCAGCAGTATGCCACCAAGACCTTCTCCGGAGGTTGGAGAATGCGTTTGTCTCTTGCCCGAGCTCTATTTTGCGAGCCCGATTTGCTTTTGCTTGACGGTATGTACCACCGGTCTCTTTGTTCCGCAAGCAGCGTACTGACATTTCACAGAACCGTCTAACATGTTGGACGTTCCGTCAATTACTTTCCTTTCCAACTATCTTCAGGGATACCCTAGCACAGTTCTTGTGGTTTCTCACGATCGTGCATTCTTGAACGAAGTCGCCACAGATATTATTCACCAGCACTCCGAGAGGTTGGACTACTACAGAGGAGCTAACTTCGGTAAGTTACACGAGATCTCAAGACTTTGAGTGGCTCTAACAACTTGCAGAATCCTTCTATGCAACCAAGGAGGAGCGTCGGAAGACTGCCAAACGCGAATACGAGAAGCAAATGGGCGAGAGAGCACACTTGCAAGGTTTGTCATTTCCCCATGGTATCATAGGGGCTGTATTGACGATTGCCATTAGCATTCATTGATAAATTCCGATACAACGCCGCAAAGTCATCCGAAGCACAATCGAGAATCAAGAAGCTTGAGCGCATGCCAGTTCTTGAAGCCCCAGAGGCCGAGTACACTGTGCACTTTGCATTCCCCGGAGTCGAGAAGCTTTCGCCGCCCATTGTCCAGATGTCCGATGTTTGCTTTGGCTACACTAAGGACAAGCCACTTCTCAGAGATGTCGATCTGGATGTTCAACTTGATTCGCGCATTGGAATTGTCGGACCTAACGGTGCCGGTAAGACCACAGTTCTGAAACTACTCACCAACCAGCTTGAGCCAACAAGCGGTCTCATCTCCACAAACTCGAGACTGCGCATTGGATTCTTTGCCCAACACCATGTCGATGCTTTGGACATGACTACCAGTGCAGTCGGCTTCATGACTAAGACATACCCCGGTAAAACTGACGAGGAGTACCGACGGCACCTGGGAGCGTAAGTTCATCCTTACCACTTGCATCTACTGCATTGACTGACCCTCATCTTATAGCTTCGGTATCACCGGTACAACTGGTCTCCAACGCATGGAGTTGCTGTCTGGAGGTCAGAAATCCCGTGTGGCATTTGCTTGCTTGTCCTTGACCAATCCTCACATCCTTGTTCTTGACGAACCTTCCAATCACTTGGATATCGAGGGTATGGATGCTCTCTCGGATGCACTGCGGGCGTTTGAGGGAGGTGTAGTGATGGTTTCTCACGATGTGACCATGTTGCAGAATGTCTGCACCAGTCTCTGGGTTTGCGACGGCGGTACTGTTCACAAGTTCGACGGCACTGTCAATGCCTACAAAAAGAAGATCACCGCGCAGGCTGATGCTGCCGGTGTTGTGGCTAAACACTAAGGGGGCTATGTATGTACAGATCAATGCCGTAAAAACCATGAATATCCTGCATGAATCTACATCATGAACATTTTTGTTGCTTCTTGCATTCTACGTCCCAGGCTTAACTTTGCCTGACAGAGTATGGCTTCATTCCACCTCAGTGCATGAAGGGGAACCAAAAAGTTTCCTAGCAAGCTCGCAGCCTTTTTATTCCTATTTGCTTTTTCTCTCTACTCATGATTTTTTACAACAAACCAAAGAACGCGAGCAGAATCCGAGTTCCGCTTCGGGCTTTGAGCGGCTCTCCTTATCGGCTTATCGCGACAAACCCCCGGACGTCCCCTGGGCACTTTCCGGTGTTCCAAGGTCACCGTCTTAGACGCTCCAGAGGATAAGTCCAGAACAGAACCTGGGGTTAGAGCTGGAAGAGTCCTAAGACATGCCGGGCGCAGATGACCAATACCAATCAGGTCCCCATGCCCCTTTGCTCGCCTCATCCCACGCCTCTTCAGACCATGAAGACAACGATGAGAGCCTGGCTGCTGAGCTGGAATACTCAGGAGGCTGGTTTATATGGGCGTTGACCTTCACCGCTGGGATAAGTGGTTTACTTTTTGGATATGAGTATGCTAGCTTCTACCCAACACTCCATGTTGCTCCATTGATCCTCATGTTCACTAACCACCGTCGGAACTTCTAGCACAGGTGTAATTTCGTCTACTTTGGTGACCATCGGGTCAGATCTATCGGGCCGGAAATTAACAACCCTGGATAAAAGCCTTATTACATCATGCACCAGCCTGTTTGCGTTGATCGCGAGCCCGTTTACCGGTGTGCTGGCAGACAAGTTTGGTCGTCGGAAGGTCATACTTGGTGCAGATTTGTTGTTTGCAGTTGGAGCTTTGGTACAGGCCCTCACAAGCCAAGTTTGGGGCATGATAATTGGACGCAGCATTGTTGGTATTGCTGTTGGTAGCGCGAGTGCGGTGACCCCATTGTAGGTTGGCCGTGACGTGTTGCCGTATCAAGGAGGGACTGAGAACCCCGAGCCAGGCAGTTATATGATTTCGAGAGACCTGATGATTGCTAACATGATGGGTAATTTCTCCAGGTACATTTCCGAGTTGGCCCCTTCGCACGCAAGAGGAAGACTTGTCACGATCCTCAGTCTATTCATCACCGGTGGACAGGTGGTGGCATACATAGTCGGGTGGTTGTTTTCCACTTCAAGTGGAGGCTGGCGGTGGATTGTGGGAATTGGGGCATTCCCAGCCTTCTTTCAGCTTGCCATTCTCGCTCTGCTACCCGAGACGCCTCGATGGCTGGTCCAGGCTGGATTCGATGCCCGGGCAAAGAAAGTCCTGAGTAAGATCTATCAGGATTGCCCTGGCTGCGATCATGTAGTGGAACGTGTCGTGCGCAACATTCATGGTGAAATTGTCCAAGAGTCATCGGAGCTGGGACCAACCAAGTCTCGTAGCACAAAGCCCCAGTGGTTACATGATACCATTCAACGGGGTCAGCAGTTGATTCACGGTGGGAACAGAAGAGCATTGATTATAGCTATGATGCTCCAGGCGATCCAACAGCTTTGTGGATTCAACAGCCTGATGTATTTTTCGGCAACCATCTTCTCCTCTCTTTCATTCTCTTCACCGACATTGACATCACTCACGGTGGCTATGACGAATTTTATCTTCACGTTGTTTGCATTTGTGCTGATTGATAAGATTGGTCGCCGACGCATTCTCCTGTATTCAATTCCTGTCATGGTCCTTGCGCTAGTCGTCTGTGCTTTCTCGTTTTCATCAATTGACGACAAATGGAACTCACAACCAAGTGGCCGTCAAGCAATCGACGATAAATCAAGTTCTCTTGTGCCCCTTGCGATTTTGCTTTGTCTTACTGTCTATACTGCAGCATATGCCCTCGGACTCGGCAATGTCCCCTGGCAGCAGTCTGAACTTTTCCCTCTTAATGTACGTTCTCTGGGATCAGGGCTTGCCACTGCAACTAACTGGGGATCAAATTTTGTTGTTGGTCTCACTTTCTTGCCTATGATGGAATGGATATCACCCTCATGGACGTTTGCTCTCTATGCACTTGTTTGTGTGGTCGGGTGGATTGCTGTATGGGCAATTTACCCTGAGATGAGTGGACTTGGCCTCGAGGAAGTCAAGGGCCTGTTAGCAGATGGTTGGGGAGTGAGAGAAAGTCTACAGCGACGTCGTCTCTCACGGCATACATAGCTTGTTAAGGAAATCTATCAAATCCAGAGCTTGTGCTCCGTTTGGTCTTGTGAAGAGGTGCAATTTGAATAGAATCGATCTACGTATCGCTTTGTTTCTCTTTGTTCCGTTGTCACATGTGAGGTGGATGTCACTGGCTACGTCAAATAGTTTCCCAATTTGGACGTTCGGCCTTGTCAAGTGATTCGAGACTGGTATCAAAATATCGCAAATATTCGCTCTTCGCGCTCTTCGCGCCTTTCGTTTCTGTCTCACATCTTCCATCTGGCATCGAGCTATACACAAACAGTGGGTCGTCACACTCTATGTCGCTCTTTAAGACTGCGCAATTTACGTGCTGAACACTTTGATCACATGCACAGGTATGTCACACAACCACCTCGAGCAGGTCGCTTCAACTGCCGTGCACAGTGCTCAAAGCCGACTGCTCGAGCTTCCGACCGAGGCAAGTATATGACTGTATTCTACAATGTAGATTGCAGGCATTGATGTTCAAGATCAACAGATTCTTCAGGATATTGCATGCTATCTCCCCGGTGATCGTGATGTTCTCCATCTCTCCCAATCCTGCAAAGACATGTGGAGCAAGGTCTTCGAATCGGAGTCCGCTATCTGGCGATATCGCTTTGGTAAATGCTATGACATTGCTCCGGGAAGACCTTCTAGGGAGTTGAAGATTGAATACCAGATCCGTGCCATTGTGCTGAGCTCTCCGATCCAATTCAAAGGGGAGGAAGATGACCGTCAATACCTCTGGATGGAGGTCATGCAGACTATGCTCGAGGAGTCTCTGAGTCTATCCATCGCTCCTGGGGCGACCTCAAAGACTCTGAAATGCATACATGAGACCCTTAGAGGGGTAGATTTTTTGAGCGAATTTCAAAAAGAGCGAACTTGCGCGCAACTCTTTTATGGTCTCCAGCTGGTACGCGCGTTCCGTCGAAGAATGAGCTGGACATTCAATCACTGAACTTTGTTATGTGCAGTGCCTAAGTTCCTTTGCTCTTGACCCAACCATCACCGAACCCTGTCGTCGAACTGACTACGACATCAAACAGGTCTACTCATATGCAGAAAAGGTGGGCAAGGCATTCATCGACCACGAGAAGCTTGACCTCGCCAAATTGCTGAACCTGCGCAACTTCTGGCAGCGTCACCTTTTGAACGCTTCCGAGTTTACCTACCAAGAATCCTTCTCTGGGCTACCTGCAGAGTTGAAGCCCAAGGCGCGAAAGGATTTTCCAACCGAGGTATTTAAACTAAGCCCATCGTGGCTAGGGTATTATTGTGAGTAAACCTACAGAACGAAAATCCAATGAACCTCCCAAGCTGACAATCAATTTTGATTAGCGTGCATGCATCCGCTGTCAGACCTGCTAAAGACCAACGAGCGTCAGACATGCGCTGATCTCGAGACACATGGCGACGGATTGGACGTGATGGTGGGTGGAAGGCGAATTGCCTGAAATGCATGAATTACTAGGCTAACAAATGTCAAGACCCTTGACCTCCAACCCTCCGACCAGTTTTGGCCCAAACAATGCAGGAAGATTATCCCCCTCGCTAGCAGTCCCGATACTAAGCGGGCATATTTCGATGGCAAGCAGAGGGCTTATGGTGGACCCTATGAAGCAGGAAACCCTGTGTTCGGGTTTACCGAAGACATCGCTATCCCACATGGTGGCTTTGGCGGATGGTCCCGGATCTGCTTTGTCATTGTCGAAGCAGATGAAGAGGAAGAGGTAAATTTACCTTCACTCGTGATGGAGGGTCAGGGCTGGATCCATGGCTATGAGGCCATCATAATCCCTAGTGGGAGCATGATGCTGGGACGGTGGATGGACATGAAGGAGCCCGAGGCCAGGGGCCCATTCATCTTCTGGGACGTGTAAGAGCCACATCTGAAATATTCTATGCAGATCGGCCTTTTGTGTCTTTGCGTGTTTTTGTTTTGGTCTTAAATGGAGCTGAGCGGTGGATAAGGTAGGCAATAAAACAGGCCAAGCTCGCCCAAAGCGCTGGAGATTGACGTAAGACTCTCGCAGTGGAATCAACATTTATGGAAACAAGAATTGTAGCGTTTAGAAAGAGGAAAATTATGAGTTGAGGAAGGGAACAGATGACACAAAGAAATTAAAACAGCCACTACTCCTCGATATCCTTGACTTTCTCCCACTCCCCTTTGAGGTTCTCCTTCCACAAACTGACCTTATTATCACCACCGCTGACGGCAAGGATGTTGCCGCTGAGACTCCAGCTAACGCGCCATAGGACAGTGTCGAACTCCAACGTTTGGCTGGACCACTGACCCGGGTTGGAGGCATCGGATGTCCAGATGCGAACAGTCTTGTCTTGCGCGGCGGAGGCGATGTAGGACTTGGAGAGGATGCTCTGGGACCAGGCCACGTCACGGACCCAGTCTGAGTGTCCCTCAAGAGTCTGGGTGAGGTTGTACGATTTGGACTCCGCGCTAAAAGAAAATCAAGTTAGTTTACATCGTAGCTGTATATTTGGGAAGGTCCATCAATCAGCATACTTGTACTCCCAGATCTTAACCAGGTTGTCACTGCCACCGGTAACAAACCGGCGTTGTTGGCCGGGTCCGGGGTTAGAGCTGATCAGGCTACCAGCAAAGGCTGCGGGGGCCCAGCTGATAGCGTTAACACCCATTCCGTGGGCATGGAAGGTCTGGTGGGTCCAGTTGTTGTCCCGGAACTCGAGCACGCTGACATGGCCGTCGGAAGAAGCGCAGGCAAGAACACACCCGCTCTCGTGGGGAGCCCAGGAGACCATGTTCACGGAGGCCGTGTGAAGGGAGAAATCGAAGACCTTAGTCCATGTGCTACCCCCGGAGGGTGAGGTCGCATTCTGGGGCTGTTCCCGCCAAATCAGAACCTTTCCATCGTAGGAAGATGAGGCCAGAATTGTGCCAAACTTTGGATGGGCCTATATAGAGAGAATCGCATGATCAGTTGGATTGCGCGTTACAGTTGCTGATGATTTGGAGCGTCACTTACCCATGCGACACACCACACAGCACCCTCGTGGCTATGAAATACTCATGTCAGTGATCCAATACCAAGCTACATACATCCAGAAGAACATCTTACCCCTTCAGCGTCTCCACTAGTCGGTGTGATTCTCCCTCAATCTCAAAGATCTTTATCGTTTTGTCGGACGAACATGTGGCCAACCGGCGGCCGTAGTAGTCCAAGCCAGCATCGTGCTATATTCCACGTAGCGCAGTTAGATTAAGTACACTGTGTGGTTGTATAGACCATCAATTGAAGTTTGTATCTTGACACATACAATCATCTCTTCGTGACCGGAATTCGAGATCACCTGAGGGGTCGCCTGGAGGGTTGAAGATGTTAGTGATGGGATTGTGAAACAAGCTCAAAGCTATAGCGGAATAGCAGTTACCATGTTGGATCAAAGAAAGCAAACGGTAAACTTGACAGCTGTGGAAGCGCGGGGAGTCGGAGTAGCTCTCTCTCCCTCTTTCAGCCAAACAACCTGGCCCTTCCCGTATCTTATCGTGTGCTTAGCTCAGTCACGTTACCTTGATCTATGCACGTGATGAGCCTCGGCCGTCGGCAACCCCACGGCCGTGGGCCGTGGTCACTTCTGACGTTCGCACCTTTCATTTCTAATATTACTGTAGTTGGTGCTGGTAACTGATTGCAGAGAGATCTGAGGGCCAAAATCACACCATTACACTTCTCACTCTGCTTTGGTCGATCTTAGTAGGTCATTATGGGTGATGCACTTTGCGGGCCGTCAAACGCCCTTCAGAACTTCCAGAAGCATACATCTGTTGATCGGACCCTTCAGCAAGACCGGTTGACTGCTCGTCAATCGCCTATTCAGGTCTGTAGCGTCTTTTAAAATGTGTGGCTTCATTCATGCTAAAAGCATATCCCAGGGTTTCCGATCCAAGAATCCCCAAGAAGGAATACTAGACCCGGAGTTCGCTGCATTTGAAGGCAACCTCTCCGGCCGCACGTTGCCCAACTTGCAACATCCCACCTATTTTGGTGCGCCATCACATCATGTCGCGGTACATCACCCAACCGGACATGGTGTAACCAACGCCAGTTGGGCATCGGACTTCCAGAACTTGCAGATATCAGGGCCCTCACACCCCGTAGCGCAACTACAAAAACCAAATATAGCACCAGCGACGACACACGACGGGTGGCACACTGAATTTATGACCCAACACGGAGGGCTTATGTCCCAGGCCCAGCAAATCCCGCATCTGAATGGTGCCCATCAACCATCTTTTGCACCTGGCTTCCAGATGATTGGCTCCTCGATGAATCAGATGCAGCCACTGCAGGGTATGCAGACGGAGCAACAACACCACACGCAGCAGTTTGACGAATCTGCTTTTGAGGCTGCCTTTGATCAGGCACGGGTGGACCTGGAGTTGCAAGGAGTTGATGTTGCCCAGCAAGATGCCCAGAAGCACTCACAGGAGACTACTGAAGTCGAGATTTCTGAGCCAGTCCCTGAAGAACAGATTCGAATTGGATCGGATCTTATTCCCCAGAGTGACCAGCAGAATCCAGAAGCACGGAGTCGAGATGCAGATGAACTTGCACGAACAGCAGGGCAACTGCTTGACAGCGTGCGAAACGAACAAAGCCAAAAATTCCAACAAAGTAACTTTCTGGCTTTAATGCGCCGGATTCGAGATCGCGAGGTGGAAGTTGAAGGAGATGAATTCCGCGAAGTCAGTACCAACCCGTAACGGTTTGGATGTCGGACGCGACAGAAGCACCGGTATAACTCACAATCTACAAGGGCTATTGTATAAGCTAATTACCCTTTGCAGACGGCGCAATCTCTTCACCCAGGTGGGCGATACTACCCAGGCCAACCCCACACAGAACCCCCTGGTTATGATACACCGTCTAGCAGTAAGGGGCCAAACAACCCTATCGGTAGGGTCTGATGCCCTGCGCACATAAAAAACCAGCCAATAACCTGACTATAAAAGCCCACTTCCTAGATGGTGTAGGCATCAGCAAAGATTCCCGACCGACCGACAAAGGAACATCCGATCATCTGGGATCCAATTCGGTTGGTTACGGTGACATAAACGCACCACACGAAGGATTACTCCACAGTCAGGGGCTTGTGGACCAGCGGAGCGTTCCGATTTGCTTTTGGGGAAGAGAGTTGGAGGCGCACTTTCTACACTAGCGAAATCATGGTACGGAGTACTGAATGTAGAGACACCTTCTTGATTACGGTGGTGCCTAGTGAGATGTAGGTACCAGGTACCTGGTGTTTAATTCTATTGATACCCATACCCCAATGAACAATAGCAATCACGTGACGCCTATTGAGAACAATAGAAGCCCATTCAAGGATCCCAATTAGGCAAGTCAATGGCCCCTGACAGCTATTGATTGGCTGTTTATTGATTGTCTACTGATTGTCTATTGATTGTGCTTATTCCTATTGTTTGTGCCCATTCAAACGAAATGAACAAACGCCAGGCCTTAAATAACCCGGCCAACCCGCTGCTGCACTTCTCTTCTTCACCCTGGTCATATCAGTACAAACGCTAAAATAATTAAAAATAACCCCATTCATAATGTTGCCTCCATCAGACTCTTTGCGACACCACCTACATAAGCTTGCCGAAGTCCGGGCAAATCGCAATTCTTCTTCTATATCTACCTCTACACCTACCTCTACTTCCATTCCAGGCACAGCCCCACCTCCATACACGCTGTCTGTCACTAGACCCAGCGGCACAACTGTCATGAGTGTCGATCAGGATGATATGGACGACCCGTGGGCCTCCCCAATCAATATTTACATCGACAACTCCATCACCGTAACCGGTGATGAGAACACCATCATGGTGCCATCTTCTGCAGCTGATTCTCCGACTGATCCAACTCACCACGATACCCAGGGATCCCCTCGTCTGAGCTCCATTGCAGCTGTCATCATCACCGCGCTGAATCGCGCAAATGCCCTCCATGATGACACAGGCTACCCCCGGCCTGTCAACATTCGCGCTCTCGCGGGCATCCGGGTGAATGGCCGAAATAATCACATTTGCATCGGGGGCGAGGTTCACAAGTCGCAGAATGAGATTGCTGATACCGGAGCTGAAGAAAGGAAAGGACGCAAGCGTCGTGCTAGTTCCGTACGTACTCTACTTCGTAAAAAGATCTTCAAGAAGCTTCATCGCTGACTGGCTTGGTTAAAACAGGAGCCTTTAGGAGCTCCGTCAGCTCAACGCTCTCATTCCTCTTGAAGAGCTATGAGTTGTTTCATGGGAATTTGAAACTCTCCCTCTTTCTGCTCTAATCCACCTCCGAATGTGATTGCTTTTTACTTTCGATTCTCTTAGATTTTGGCGACTTGCAACTTTCTGTTTACTTAGGGGAGTTTTCCAATTTTTGGTTTGCTAGTTATGAGTTGATACCTTGGCCGTTTTTTTTTATGAATTCTTTGTACAATATATGATTTTCCTGCACCTTTCCATTTAATTAGATCAATTCTTTTTTTTTTCACTTTACGGTGACGAAGGCTATGAATGTAACTTTGGGCCTGCTAGATTCAACACATGGGGCAAGTGCTATACAATGCTCTTGTTCCTATGTTCAATCGGCCAAATTTTTAAATCCTTTTTTCGCCTAGCTTTTGAGCCTTTCAACCATATATCTCATCTCGTTGGTCAGCCATGCAATTCGGTACTCCTCGCAAAGCCTGACATTCTGCTTTAACGAGCGCTGAAAGTTTGCTCAGTGTAGAACTATGCCAGCTTTTTACCGTATTTGGAGAATCCCACTTGACCAATAGCTCAGTCGTGGATGTTACGAACCATTCTGACATTCAAAGTAACTACATTGCGATCACCGTCTTCTGTACTCGTTTTCCCAAGGTTACGAGTGATTCCGAGTCCGATTATGTGACCCTCTCTAAAGGAATTTCCTCTGGCGTTCCACCGGGGACGAAGGCAACAGGTGCGGATTCTCCCCCTACCAACAGCAACCTCCAAATTATGTATGTCGCCCACCATCTGTGAAACAGTTATGCCTGAGGTGCAGGAAGTCAATAACAGCTCAACCAAATTGGCTTTTTTGGACTTGTAGTCCCGCCCAAATGGCCGGTAAATGTTGCGGAACCGCATATGAAGCCGCGAAGAAGTGTCTCTAGAATATTGAGTATTTGAGGATGCCTTTGGGTGGTCGATAAGTAAAAGAAGATGAAAAGTAAAAGAAGATGAAAATAGATGGACAGAAAGCTGCCATAGAGTGCAAAGGTATTTAGAAGTCATGGGCTTCGAGAAAAGGTAGTTTGTTGAATAGATCAGCCTACTCAAATTCAATGTAAGCTTTGCTGAATTTTCTTTTTGGATGCTGGCCAAGGAAGAAACAAAACAATTCAGTTTCGACCAGGTTTCGAGAAACTACATTGGAGTTATATGAGTTATGGCATTAGGGAATCGAGCTCCTACTGAAGATGGCGCATTCAAATGCTGTTTCGTTGTGCATTTCGGCAAACCACACTAACGTCCCAATGTTCCAGCAGCCATGGAGGCATCAAAATTACAATAGATCATTCTAAAGCCCTAAGCCCTAAGCCCTTTCCCTGTTGATCACGTCTGTTGCGTCCCATCTCTAAACCCTCTTTCTTAGGTACGACTGAGCCTTCGGATTCCGCAGGGTCCAGCGGTTGCAGTGAAAAAAAGGAGAGGATGGAAAAAAAGAGAAAGATGGGAAAGATGGGAAAGATGAAAAACCACCACCCAGGCCACCGAGCTTTGAATTCCCGTTCATGGATGACACAGGCTCTACACATTTGAGCTTATTTGAAGATGACATCAACATTCTCCGGAATCTGGGTGCAACGGATGGACATACATACCCTTTGCCCCGATGCCTAGGTGTTGGAGTTCTTTGGGTCGCGGATGGGAGGCGGGTCCCCTCACTATTCAGAGAATTGGAAGTCAACATGTGGAGTTCAGATGAGTCAACTTGGATGTCTGCCTCCTGGCAGGCGATTCCAGCTTCAATCAGCACTGGTCAATCAACGGGGGCCAGCTGTGACCGTTTGAGTGGGTCATGGCTGCGACACAGATTTTGCACTGGAACTTGTCCTGATCAGTCGATGCGTCTTTGGGTTTTTAACTATAACCCTGGGATTCCACAGGGTCAGAGGACTCTTCCTACGGCGACCCCAGCACAATTGACTGCGCCCTTCCGAACTGGAAGGCTTCATCCCGTTACAGACTTCCCTCATCTGGACCCAAATGTCGCATCTGGGCAAAATTTGTTCTAATTTGCTGCCAGATGCACGGTTCTACCTTTTCTTGGACGTTTTACATCTGGTTTAGTGCACCTTTCGGTTCGTTCAACTCTGATCGCTCTCTGCTGGCATTTTTAATTTCGATTTTGACGGCCAAAATTCAAACATACGACATCAAACACAGCGTACGCTTTTGATCTATCTTCACGAGCATAAGCTATACGAGATCTAATCTCTATTGTGCATGCATGCCCCTTTATCGAGTGAGGTCAGAGAAGAGATTTCTGATGTGAGATGATATACTAGCTCTAAGAACAGAAATTAGATCCCCAAAACTAAAAAAAAGACGAGATAAGAGCGGAATACAGCCGATGATGTAGTGCCTATATACCAAGATTAAGGAGCTCTCTAGAGTTCCAGATTCTCCACATGCTCTAGGTCATACAGAAACGGTCAAGACTCAAGACGACCTGCGACAGTCAGTACGGATTTTTGTTCCCCACGAGTACACCAACTTGACCATTTGTTTCTTTGAAGGCTGAACGCAGACAGCTGCTCTTTTGATAGGTAGGTTATTCACAGCCAATTCAACATTTATAGGGCCAATGGCTCTACAGGGTTGATATTAATTTGGCTCGGTTGTCTTTTCCATCATTTATTCACCAACGCTATCTTCATTCATTCCAGCCAACGATTGCAACAAAATGTCATCCTCCATGAATATCACTAAACCGAAGCTAAATTTTTTTTTCTGCCCTAAACCAAAAATGAAATGATAATGGTGAAGTGAACAGGCTGCATCACATCCCCAAGATCCATGAACAAAGAGGAAGAGCGACAATGGCTTCTCATACACATGGCGGATACTTGTCGCATATTCGCCAAACTGAAAATTTCGGATTGTATCAGTGGTCAATTTCAGTCTCCGAGGTATGCCTGCTTTATATGACTTAGTACTCCTGTCCCGACAGTCTCAAAGATCCGGTCGAACCCTGCACGTTCTGGATCAAGCCATGCGGAGTACACTTCGCCCTTCTCAAAGTCTCCGATATGGCGCAGGCGGAGGAACAAGGAGATAGGGTCACTGGTGCAGATAAATCAGGATTTGGTATTCATTGAGTGATACTCCTGATATTCGACAAAATGAAAGACAGTTGAGAAGCCCTTTGAGAAAACCAACCAAACAGATGTCACAAGATCTCAAACGCGGCCGACTTATTCGTATTGACCAAATTTACATAGCAATGACCATTGCAGTGGTCCCAGGGGTCATGATTCATGCTTATAGGTGTGCATATAGCACATAGCACCGTAGAGATCCGGTGGAAACCCTGATAACAAACCATACGTCATTGACTTGTCAGTTATAAAAATTCCCCGGTCAATCATTCTCTTACTTCCTCTTAAATTTATGATATCTCAACACCTATAGATCCAGGGTATCAGGGTATACAATCTTTTCCAGCTTTCTCAGATCCCCAGGATAATCGCGGGATTGTTTTCCGTACATTTTGTACAACCTTGGCAGAGCATGGCGTCAAAGTCAGGCGAAAAGAGTATCTCCGCCTATGGAGAGGCGCGTTCAACAGTGAGTGGGAATCCGCTCGACGCCGAGACAATCCGAAAGATGAATGCCTGGTTTCGGGCCAGCATGTACCTATGTTTGGGCATGCTTTATCTTCGCGACAATCCACTTCTCACAGAACCGTTGAAGCTGGAGCATCTCAAGGCTCGACTCTTGGGTCATTGGGGTTCTGATGCCGGGCAATCTTTTACCTGGATGCACATGAACCGCCTCATCAAGAAATACGACCTCGATGTTCTTTTCGTTTCCGGCCCCGGACATGGAGCGCCTGGAATCATCTCTCAATCTTACCTTGAGGGTGTCTACTCGGAAATCTACCCGGATAAAGGGGAGGACACGGAGGGTATGAAGAATTTCTTCAAGCAATTCTCTTTCCCAGGTGGGATTGGAAGCCACGCGACCCCCGAGACACCTGGAAGTATCCACGAGGGAGGTGAGCTGGGATATGCACTCTCGCATGCCTTTGGCTCGGTCTTTGACAACCCCCATCTCATTACTTTGACCATGGTTGGAGACGGCGAGTCCGAGACCGGTCCACTTGCAACCAGCTGGCACAGCACGAAGTTCCTGAATCCGATCAATGACGGAGCAGTCCTTCCGGTTCTTCATCTCAACGGATACAAAATCAACAATCCGACAGTGCTTGCCCGAATCACTCACGACGAACTTGCATCGTTGCTCGTTGGCTATGGATGGAAACCGTACTTTGTGGAGGGAAGTGATTTCGACAGCATGCATCAGGCCATGGCGGCTACGCTCGAGCAATGTGTCACGGAGATCCAAGAGTTCCAACAGCAAGCCCGAGAGACGGAGACCCCGTTCCGACCCCGCTGGCCAATGATCGTTCTTCGTACACCCAAGGGATGGTCGGCTCCACGAGAGGTTGATGGCCATCTCCTCGAGGGATTTTGGCGCGCACACCAAATTCCCATCACTGATGTCCACACCAACCCCCATCATCTGAAGTTGTTAGAAACATGGATGAGGTCCTACAGACCGGAAGAGCTCTTCGACAAGAATGGCACTTTGATTCAGGAACTAAAGGAACTCGTGCCCACGGGTAACTCGCGGATAAGTGCCAACCCCGTTGGTAATGGAGGTCTTCTCCGCCGGCCGCTTCACATTCCCGATTTCCGAGAGTATGGGTTCAAGAAAATTGACCCAGGGTTGACAATTAAGGGAGGCATGGCCAACATGGCGAAATTCCTTCGTGACATAGTGGCGCAGAACATGAAGACCTTCCGGCTTTTTGGGCCCGACGAGACTGAGTCCAACAAGCTATCAGAGGTGTACAAAGCAGGCAAGAAAGTCTGGATGGGGGATTATTTCGAAGAAGATAAAGACGGAGGAAATCT